AGCAATATGCCTTTATGATTACATTTAAATTGAGTTTATGTTGAGTGTTGTGTTTGTTTTTTCGTTTTTGTTTTTTCTTTGCGTTCGTTTGTGTTGTATTTAGTTTTGTTCTGTTCCCAACTTGGTACATTTAAAAAAGATTTACCGTGTGTTGTGGTTGTGGTTGTGGTTGTGTTGTGGTTGTGGTTGTGTTTTGTTTGTGTTTGTGTTTGTGTTGTGTTTTTGTTTGTTTTGTTCTGTACATTTTAATAACATAACATCAGTAGGGTAGAAAAACATAACTAAACTGTTTAGTAATTTTGCCAAAGGAGGTAATTTAAAAATAAATTGAACTGACGCTAAAAATGTGAATGCAAAATTGCAAGACGGAATAATTGTGGGAATAATATAATTAGCAACATGTGAATGCAAATTGTGCAGATGTGGAAGAGAAAATTATTGTTAGAAAATTATAATTAGCATGGATTAATAAAAGGCAATCTTTTATGCCTTAGGGGGCGCCAAAGTGGGTTGGAAAAAATTTGCGGGGGGTGGGGGGGTGGCAATCGAAAGTTTTAGGGCGGGAGGGGGGGGGGGCGCAAATCGAAAGTTTGAGGGGGGGGGGGGGAATTTCAAATCAAAAGTGGTGCAAATCGAAAGTCTGAGGGGTGTGCAAATCGAAAGTTTAAGGGGGGGGGGTCAAATCGATTTGGCGCTACGGGCTAGACTGTGAGCAATATGCCTTTATGATTGCATTTAAATTGTGTTTATGTTATGAGTGTTGTGTTTGTTTTTTCGTTTGTGTTTTTTTGCGTTCGTTTGTGTTGTGTTTAGTTTTGTTCTGTTCCCAAGTTGGCACATTTAAAAAAGATTTACCGTGGCGGAGCACGGGATGCAGCTAGTATATTTATACGGAAGTTAGCACTTGTCACTTTTCGTAAAACGTCATCAAATTATGTTTGGCATTTAATTTTATCCTGCGCAGATCCAAGATGGCGACTTCAAAGAGAATCCCCACACTTAAAACTATAAACCAGCCTTTAGGAATTTAAACATGGTTTGTTAGATTATATTTTTAACTTGTGCGAATCTATATGTTTCAAAATATACATTCATATATATTATACGTATATATGTGTTATTCTTATATGTAAATCTATAAATATATATCTTTTAGACCGCCTACTACTGTCTCATTGTTGAAGTACTGATAGATACATAGCATACTGACAGATGACTAATAAACTAACAGATACAATATATCTACCTGACGCAGTGTCATATACCTGAGACTTTGACAAATACTTGACTGACCCGCGTTTGTTAACTTTTCTAAAAACTCAGATGCAGTGTTTCTTCCAGACTTTTTTCTCCGGGGGGGCACTTGAAATTTTCGGGGGGGCGGTAGACTTTCTTCGGGGGGGCGGACACTCTTAAAAGTATATATTTTCTATATAAATTATATAAATTTCATTTCGTTCGGGGGGGCGGTAAAAATTTTTCGGGGGGGCTTCGCCCCCCCGAAGAGATGCCTGGAAGAAACTCTGCTCAGATGTTGTCAATGTGATAATATAAAACCAATGTTTTCAAGTAAATCAGAGTAACACTGCAACCAGCAAGAATCCTGGGACCACATCAGAACGTCGTGAGTCTGGTTGTAGCTTTTCATTCGTGGTCGTCCTCTAGCTGACTGATCATGGGCATTGAATGGTCGAGAGAATGGTACTTTCATCTAAGCAAACTTTTCAAACCTGACACCAACAACCCAATATTGAATGTAGACAACCTTGATAGCACAGGCGAAAATCGTACCGAGCAAGGTTTGGTAGGTTATCACTTTAGTAAACAGATTTAAAACGTGTCTGGTGAATCAAATGTTTTTGAGTGTATTTGTCGAACTTTGGTTCGAAATATTGTGTGTGGATGTGTGTGTGTATGTAGTTGTTCACTGTATCACCTTAAGACATCGAGCTCTTCGATGAGTCACCTATCAGAGAAGGTAGAGATATCACATATTACAGATGGTAGACATATCAAATGTCACATATCATATTGTATTTGTCATCGTTGGAAAGCTGGACTTCTCATGTGTTTGATAATCTTAATTCCCATCATCTCGGAAACACAAAGCTTACAATCGGCTTTGCAGTTTACACAGATATGGTATTTTCGTGACCTACGTTTCGTTACTCTGGGGTCATCCATAAATGACGTCACGCTTTTTGACGATTTTTTCTCTCCTTCCCTCCCCTCCGTCACATTTCGTCACAAAAAACCAGACCCCCCCCCCTAAAATGACGTCACACCTCAGCCTGCAATCCCACTCAAAATTGCAGTGACGTCGCACCATTTGAACCCCCCCCCTCCACCCCCCTCATCACACACCGTCACAAAATTATGGACCCCCCCTACGAGTGTGATGTCATTTATAGAACACCCTTTTTTGCTGTTGTTCTCAGTTCGCAGGATTTAAACACTAAAAAGCCTACTACTTTTTTATTTATTAAACAAGGCTCACCATATTTTAGTAATTTTTTTCATGCAAAAATACAACCTTTGTCAGTAAGGAATTGTGATAGCTTTCATCGAAAAAAAAAGTGTTTGGTAATTAATATGCACATTTTTAAAATTTTGGATACTAAAAAAGGTACGATTTTTTAGACCTTTAGAAATTCTTACTATTAGTATTCAAAGCCTTAGTATTAGACAGCAAAAAGTGTTAAAAACAATTTTGGTAGTTATGGAAACACAAAAAAAACCCTCCGCGTTTTGAATTTTTCCGTACTTTTAAAAATGCTAAAACTTTTTATTTATGCACTTATAGCATTCAAATTAAAACTTATTACATTTCAATATTTTTAAAGCTTTTCTCACGACAACTTTTTAAAATAGCTAATAGTATTAGCTAACTTTCATGTGCCAAATAGGGTAATAGTATTCAAAAGGCTTTGAATCTTAAACTGTAAAAAATAGAAAAAAACTTAGCATGTCCCCTTAAGATTCTACTAACCCTTCACACCCTCCAGTTTACAGAGGCTGGCTGGAGCCGTCTACCTTACCTGGTCTTGGTTCAAGTCTTCCAACACCTGGACAACCCAGACAGGTACCACGCTGCTCTCACGTGTAAATCCTGGCTGCTGACACTCTCTAGTCCAGCCTTGTGGCGCACGGTACACTTCAAGTTAAACACCAAATACAGCCAAAGTTTGCTCATTTTCATCAGAAGGATGGGGAAATCTTTGCTGCAAATTAGAGTCGATTGTGCAGGTTACTTACTTTTTTAATTTTATTTTCAATCAACTGATATATATATATATATATATATATATATATATATATATATATATATATATATATATATATATATATATATATATATATATATATCCCACTTCTGACACCAAAACTGTTGGGCGTGCGGGGAAGGGGGGGGGAGGTAAGGGATCGGTCTTATACCGATAGAGAGATGGTGTTGTTTTTTATTCTCTCAAATCCGTGCACCCTCGTTGTTACAAAGGGGTTTACCAGACCTGAGCAAAACGAATTAAAACATCTAAACAACACCAAAATTAAACTAAAAATGAAACTTGTTAACCCATAGTTCAATACTTTTATTTACCTCTATTAGACGAGTCAATAGTTTACAGGGTTACAATATCAGAACGTAAAACAATTTTCGATCATCACTCTTCATACTTTCATTACCATTACTCACAAACTACCCAGCCAGACATACAGCAACATGACATAGTCTGGCAACAGAAAAGCTTCTTGATGACAGCCTCAGGTTGTCATCACGACGATAGGTACTGGACAGCATCTTGCTGACTGTTACAGCGGCAACATCTCTCTGACAGTTAGGGGACAACTTCTCCACCCTCAAGACAGCAACTGGACAGCTTCTCACATGGCAGGACATGTAGAGCTCCCGATATGTACTGGACAGCATCTAGTCGACAGGTACAGGTTGACATAACGATGACATATACTGTACAGCATCTCACATGACAGGCACAAGACAGCATAACATCCGGCCATTTGTCCACGACCACACCTTGGCCAACAACATCAGCCCGCCTTCGCGGCCAGCTTTACAAGAGTTAGACTAGCATCTAGATCTAGCCCCAGCTATGTGTGTCTGCTTTCCGGTCTCTAGTCTACCCTCCTTAAATAACAGACGAATGTCAAGGTGTCAGGGTAATTATGCACCAACACTTCCCAGTCAAGCCTAACCTAATTTACATGTCGTCCACAGTTCTGGGGTACCAGATTAAAATGTCAGACCCTACTAATAAACTTCCCCCAGCTTTCTCCGTCAGTCACCATTACGGTCACCCAAGCCAACTAGATACGTTACTGCTAAATCTACTCCATATTGATGCCGTTGTCTGATATTATAATTTAATTCTAACACGAGCTTCGTTGACTGTCTCCATCTAGGCCTATTTAATTTAGTCACGTGTATCGTCAACTCTGGGTAGGATGCCATACCAGCCCACATATATAAATTGCTAAGAGTCAATGTTAAGCATTGACAATTTAAGAACCAACATGACTGAAACCAAATACCAATTCTATTACAGCGCAGACAGCTGGGGGTCTCAGCTATAGCTTCATATTCTTGTATCAGTTTATCGAAGCTCTATTGACCACTAACAACCAGCAACTGGTAACTCTCAGTCTGACTTACATGGAGATGTGGAAATTATCCTCCGTTCACCTCAAGTGGGAGGTGGTCAAACAACTTGCTTTTTTGATAGAAAACCAGCGAAATCTTCAAGTACTGGATCTAAGCCACGCTAAATTAAGTATAGATGAAGGTCGGTAAAGCTGATGTAAACGCTGGTCTAAAACAAGCTAATATTAAACTATTATATTCGCATGCCCGAACTACAACAGCCACCAAATAATAAATGCTTATTACAACAACGAATCAGGTCTTTGGCTGCTAGAAGCTGCAGCCAGCCATCAGTGCCGACAGACGATCCACACCCTGGACATTGACCGGCTCATTGATAATACGTGGTCAGGGGGTTTTACCACTGATGAAACATTTCATCATTTCATGTCCCGTTTTAGCAACTTATCAGGTATGTTTTGTTTCTTCAAGTTTTATCGAGCTGTTTTTTTTAAAAATTATTTGTTTGCCTGTAGAGTTTTACACTTTTTTGCGTCGACTCAACATGCACCAACCTTAGCAATTATGTTTATTTGTTTTAACCTAACTGAATCAAATACTTATTTTTCATATATAACATCCATAATAAACATAGAAATAATCAAACTTTCGGACTGTTAGTTTTTGTATAAGAGAAGTAACATTCATATTTTGTGAACTTCGTGGCTGGTATTGAAGAAAAAGCAGCTCTTTTTGCATACAAACCTGACGTATTGAGAGTAACTTTAAACCACAGCAAAAACAACATACTGAGACACCACACACCGAACCACAACACACTGAACAACAACACACCAATTCATAGCACTCCAAGCTACAATACACCGAACCACAAAACACCAAACCACAACATATCCTACCACAGCTCTGCAACACACCTAAATGTTACTACCAGAACTGAACCCAGTCCCAACTTTCAGACTTGAAGCTGAGCCACCTCTACATGTCAGACAACCTGCTGTACCTGCTAGCTAAGACAGCCAGCCACAGCCTGAGGTTGATCTCTATCACCACAGAGGATTATTTCGTATTAGACCATCCTTCAACTACCTTTAGAGCCTGGCAGTATTTGAAGTCTGCTTGTCCAAGTCTCAAAGTTGAAGTTTTTATAAACCCATTAAAGGTGAGCTCACCAAGCAATACTGTCTTTCATTTTATTCACTTTACGTAGAGTTTATAATTATCATTTTTAATCAAAGACAATTGACGTAAAAAAAGACACTTTTATTTGGGAACGGCAATTTCCGCTGGTTATTATCTGTATCTTTTTTTTTTCGCACGAAAGGGAATTCGTTTTTGTCTGTTGTTTTTTTTTGAGCTCGAAGGGAAATTCGTTTTTGTCTGTCGCACAAAACATGATGATCGTCGTGTATTTTTTACCTCACCATAGTACGTACCTTTTTTTAAGCAGACGTTTTAACCGTAAATTTAGCAGTTTAAATTTCTAATACATTCTCGATTTCAAAGGAAAGATTGAAGAAACAATTTCTTTTAAGCGCTACGTTTATGTTTTATAGCTTCAAAGTCTCCAACAGATGACATCGCTTTGCACCGCAAATTTTTTTAAAAATCAATAACAGTTTAGAAGCCAGCTTCTAAATATCCTCTATTTTTACTTTTATCTTTCCATTTGAGGAAAAGCTTGGGGAATTATAGCCGTTCACTAAATTTAATCAGGCGCGTCCGCCGGCGTTCCGGCAGGGTTGTATTTGGCGCCCTGGGTTATCCTGTTAGCGCTATGGTGCATAATTTCGTTCTAAACAGTGCGATAGACTACGGGTAAGAAAAGTTACTATAGTCTTTAATTAAATCAAATCCAGACGTCCCCCGACGCCCCGACAGGGTGCTATTTTTTGCCCCGGGCCTTCCCGTGTTCGCTATGGCTCCTACGTTCTTTTAATTGAATGCATAAAACTAAGAATAAGTTTGGATACTATAGTCGTTTACTAAATTAATTCAGGTGGTTCCGCCGGTGCCCCAGCTTGGTGGTATTTGGCGCCCCGGGCTGGATTATCAGCAGTATGCTTTTGTGATTGCATTTAAGTTTGTGTTTATGTTTGCGTTTATTTGCATTATTTTGAAATATTGTTTACGTGTAGGTTTCAGTTGTGTTTTTATTTGTGTTTGCGTTTTTGTTTGCGTTTATGTTTTCTTTGTGTTTGGGATTGGGTTTGCGTTTTTGGTTGGGTTTGTCTTTTTTGTTTGTATTTGTTTGTGTTTGTTCTTTTTTGTGTTTGTTTTTTCTTTGTGTTTGCGTTTGTGGTTTGGTTTGTGTTTTGGTTTTTGTTTGTGTTTACGTTCTCTTTTGTGTTATATTTGCGTTTTTGTGTTTGGTTTTAGTTGGTTGTGGTTAGGGTTAATTCGAACAGTAATATATTTCCTAAATCCAAACAACGCCGGGTATATGCTGATTACTAAACACACAAGTCATACTCCATTACAGGTAGGTTTTTCAGGGAGGCCAGTGCAGGGCCTGGCCTTGACGGCTAGTTAGGTGTATATAAATCAAAGTCGATTGCGGTTTGACACCGTTTCTCCGACCGCACTCAAACTTTGGGACTTCGTTGAGACTACTCCTTGGGAGGTTTGTGCGGGGAAAAAATGTCAAATTAGCAGTGGTTGCGCCACGACATGGCACGATTTGTTTATTTTTCTATAAATGGTATATAAGAAATAAAAGTCGATTTCGGTTTGACACCGTTCATCTGATAGCCAAGAAACTTTGGGAAAATTTTGAGGATACTCCTGGGGATGCCTATGCTAAAAAAATCAAATTCTCAGTAATGGCGCGCTGGCAGAGTGCGGATTTTCTCTATATACAATAGATAAAAATAAAAGTCGACTACGGTTCATCACCGTTCATCCGATCATCATCAAACTTTGGGGAGTTGATGAGAACACTCCAGGTTAGGTTTCTGTAAAAACTAATTTTTAATTTTTCAAGGGCGGCGCCCCGGGAGGATGTAATTCTTCTCTATATTCGATAAACTAAAAAAAAATGAAAGTCGTATGCGGTTCGACACCGTTTATCCGAGTGCCATAAAACTTTAGGCAGTTGATGAATACTCCCGAGAAGGTTTATGGGGGAGGGGGATTTATTTTCGCAGTGGCGGCCCCTGGAAGGATGATGGCGACTACGTTTGTTATAAACAAAGTGGTAGACAATGTATAACTTGGGGCGTTATAGTTGCTCAATTAATTGAACCAGGCGTGTCGCCGCTGCCCTGGTAGGTTGCAATTAGACTGCGAACAAAACTTTCACTTTCCGCCCCCAAAGACTCACATGGACCGCTGGTTAGATTATAAACTTGTTTGTTTCTTTTTGTTCGTAAAAAAATCCAAACAGATTTGTAACTTTGATGTCATTAGCATTACTTTTTAGACGTTCCAATCAGAAATTGTTATCTGAAGCATCCAATAATACACTATTAGTAACGCTAGCAAATTGCAGCAGTCACACTGATGTTTATACCACATCAAATCCGTTTTTTTTTTAATTTTTGTTGATTAGTGCACTTTTAGCAAATGACGCAATCTGCATTATTGTTAACATGATGCTATGTGGCGCTATGGGTTATACTTTTAGCACTATGGCGCTTATTTTTTTTTTTAAAAGCCAGGGCCGTATGTGATGCCTCTGTGGTAGTAAAATCGGGGGCTCCCGAGAGGGGCAATTCTACGTCCTTGTGAGATCGTAGACAGACACTGGAGGGTAACAAAAAACAACTCTATTCCCGTCGGAAAAAAGCAATTAGGGTCGTTTGATTTGTTCAGTTGCCGTATTTTATTACAAAAACAATTCTTTGTGAAAAAGTAAACAAAGACTACGTCATTTTTCCTATGTACAGTGGAGTTAACTTTTTAAAGTAATACCTTTTAAATACGGTTATATTATTTTAAAGAAAAACAAAAATTACAAAGTATAGCTTACATGTCCATAGAAATTTCGTTATAAATAAAGTTATTATTTGTACTTAAATTGTAAAAATCAATTGGTTAAGTAAATTAAATATAATATTTGATTCATTCAATTAAAAAATCCTTTGCAATGCTAAGAATCTTGAGAGTTATAAGTTTGCAAATACTCCATTAAGGTTTGCATGACATAATATTACTCAAACTGTTTAAACTTAGGCCCTAAGCATTCCACATAACAGGCAATCACAGATTAGTTAATCATTCAAATTCTCAAAAGTTTTTGGTAAGCGTAAGCTGACCTAGGCAATATGCCTATCTATAATATAAGCGGGCTTGTAGTGTGTCAGTCCTTCCTTCCGTCATCGCTATAGATTTTGAACCATAAAAGTAAACATCGAGCCATGCAGAGCTTTTACATTGCATCGCCTTGTCTTATTATAAGTAATAGAGTAGAGTTTCTTTATATAAGGACTTAAATTTATTGTAAATTCGCCACAGTTTTTACTCTTTAGCATAACGTAAAGAAAATATTAAATACACGCACATTGCTAAAACATATTAAACGGATCAATGTCAAATATAATTATCGTTTAGATTCCTAGAAAGAATGGATACATTTTCATAACTGTAGGGTCGAAAAAAAAAATAATTAATTCAACAGTTTATAATTTTGACATGGGAGGTAATTTAAAAATAAATTCAGGGCGCGGAAACCTATGAAAGCGTGTTGTTCGGTGGCGATTCTAATGTTGTGGTTGTGTTTGTTTTGTGCTGGTGTTGTGTTGTTTGTGTTGTGTTGTTTGTGTTGTATTTGCGTTTTATTTGTGGTATGTTGTGTTTGTATTTGTGTTTGTGTTGTGTTTGGTTTGATTTGTGTTGTGTTACGTTTGTGTTATGTTTGTGCTGTGTTTGTGTTGTGTTTGTGTTGTGTTTGTGGTGTGTTTGTGTTGTGTTTGATTTTGTGTTGTGTTTGGTTTTGTTCTGTTTCCAAGTTGGTACATTTAAAAAAGATTTAGCGTGGCGGAGCACGGGTATGCAGCTAGTTAATATATAATCAGACAAATTATTTTCTAGTGATTTTTAAACTAATTTACTAATCCGTCGCTCCTATACTAGGCTTATAACAGTACACATTAATATATCTATCCAGTTACTGTTTTCGTTGATAATTCTAAAAACATTACTCTGTGTTTCTCTCAGGGTCGGGAGTTCGACTTTCCAGTGGATGCAGTTCTGGCACCTTGTATGCCATTGCATAAATTATATTGGAGCTGTAGCAGTTCAAGTTTTCAACGTTCCCTGGCACACATCACCGACTTCTTTCAGGTATGTTGTTCTTGGTTGGTTTGGCGAGCTCTCACACTGTAGTTCTATTTTCCCAGATGTGAGGGTATCAATATGTGAGAGCCAGCCATATTATTATGCTACTTGATTTGTGATGCACCCTAAATAGACCGAATTTCTTCCACTTCGGTAGATAGTTGATACAATTTTGGACTTATGAAGAACAACCAAACATTTCACCCGGACTTGTTTCTGCCAATCTCCCCTAGTACCTGGCAGCAGAGGTTGTAGGATTGGGCTTAATTGGCTGGCTTGATTAAAGATTGGCTTAATTAGCTGGCTTGATTAATATTAACCTGTTGTTGCCATATTTAAAAATAATTGTTCGAATATTTTCTTGGATGTTTTAAGTTGATTAGTGTGTGTGTGTCTGTGTGTATTTGTGTTTGTCTGTGTGTTTGTGTGTGCTTGTGTGTGTGTGTTTGCGTGAGTGCATGCGTGTGTGTGTGTGTTGATATTGGATGTAGAACAGCGTTTCTTCCAGACTTTTTTCTCAAAGGGCCCGAAGAGATGCCTGGATAAAACTCTGATGTAGAAGAGTTAGTTCAACTTGTGATATGTTACCTAATGAAACAAAACCATTTATTCAACGAGTAAGAAGTTTCTTATCTTTTTCTTTCATAGGACTCATTGCGGCAGCTCCACGTCATTTTTTGGGATTTTCCCGATAAAAATTCTGTCACGGACCTGATCAAAAGGTAATTTGATCCTACTGTATAGCTATTATTCTAGCTGTGTAGTGTTACCACGCTGCTACCTATTCCTAAAGTATTTAAAAATACATATTAAACCCATTTTCTATAAAAAATTAGTAGCATGTACCAAATAGATTAGCGTATAATTGCTCGTTTCATAACAACCCCCAATACTGCAATATTTTTTTAGTTTCTGCTTTGTTACTTTGTGAAACAACAACTGATGATCCAAAACTAATTTACTATTTAAGGAAGTTAATCTAGAGACACGACCAAAAAACTGACCGAATTATATTGCACCTAGGTAAATTTCGTCAAATAAATGTGTCACGGCCTTTTCTGCTGCCATTCGTGGCACAAGCTCAAAAAAACAAACACCAACCGCTCTCCTCTCTCCTCCTTTGTTATTACATATTATAGTCTAATTTATAACACTAAACAACCCACGTTCAGGAAATTTTCATGATTTTATTGGTTCATTGACACATCGACTTCACTGCCAAAACATCGCCATTTTCTTCCCGCTCTCTCCCTCCTTGCTTCCTTTCTTTAGCGCATGCGCACACCCACACTATATTTTAGATTTATATCGCCTTTTTATGAAACATACTCGAAGCATGCATTCATCTTACATTTGACTGTTACAAAATGCATTTTATAAATCTTAAGACTTGAAAAACCAGCCTCCCCATCACTTGTCTAACTATTGACTTCATGACATTTTTGCTCTCCGAAATTCCTCTTTTCCAAAGGATTCCACATTAACCTAGTATGTTGTAACCTGTCTTTCTGATGGTGTTCTCTGCCCACCACTTTTTTTTTATTTCACTAATTTCGCTCCTGTTTTTAAGCCACACATTAAAACAAACTTCATTTTTGTGCTAAAGTTCATGGGTTGGTTTTTATTGACAATGCATATGCACTTTACATTGAATTTTTAAAAAGCATTCTATCGTAGCTGATTCACATCTTAACATCATGGTCAGCGTCACTAACATTAGGAGGTTTTTTGCTTTTGTTCTTTAATCATTACAGTTTGTTCTGTTCTTGTTGTTTACTATTTGCAATAAGGCAGCGCCCATCTGTGAATGAAAACGTTTTGATAAATGAATTTGTTATAGGTGTCACAATTTAGAAACCTTGTCAGTAGAGACTTCAACCCTGACAAGTGGCAAGGAACGCCGCATCGAGACGGCCCTCAAACTGGGTCTTGCCTGTCACCACTCAACCACCCACCCCTGTGTTGCCACCTTGAACCATAAGGACGTGAGTTTAAAGGACACGTGGGAGACGACAATCTTTTGTTGGCTGGCGAAACTTATATAAAGTACGTGGATGTTCAGGGCTGAAACACGGTGGCCAACTTTAATGGTGAATAGCTTGTGGGTAACACAGAATCAAAGACAAATTTGGAAGTGTATCTGTGAAACGTGTTTTGGTCAGGGGAAATTCAACCTTAGTCATGAATATAATATTGTGCATGTCATTTCTGGTCATAGACTGACCGTACTTAATGAGTAATACAATTATTGCGTGTTATGCTATCACCTTTAGTGTCGCCTTATCAAGCAACTAAAACGGTCAAATAGAAAATGTTTGCATTTCTTAAATACGTGGATTTTATAATTTATATGGATTTTATAAGTTATATGAATTTTATACACGAAGTGTATAAGTAGTGTTATCACCAACAACTTAAAATATAAAATATAATGCAAAATCGCTTAACGTGTTGTTTACTAAGGTTTTTGTTCTGAGTTTGTTACTGTCCAAATTAAAGTGTGAGAACTAATATCAACCAAATGCATTGTCAAACATACTATTGATCTTTTGTTTGATGTTTAAAACAGATTTGTTTTTAAGCACATTATTTATCTTGTGTTTGATGTGTAAAACAAATGTGTTGTTAAGTACATTATTATCATATTTTTGGCTTTTGGTAAATAAAATGGCTTGTCAATGTAATTTTTTTACCCTACTGTTATTAAAATGTATCCATATTTCTAGGAATCTAAGCGATAAGTTTACTTCACATTGATCCGTTTAATACGTATTAGTAATGCTCTCGTATTTAATATTTTCTTCACGTTAAGCAATAGAGTCATAATCTAAACCTAAAAGTTAACTTCTCCAACCCTTTGTTGCAGCTCTTACCTAAAATTTGAAATGTTAAGATTAAGGCAAGTTTGGATATTTTTTGTATACATTTTTTATAGAGCATTATATATTGCTCGTTTATTAAAAGTTTCGTTTTCAATGGATGCAATTTTAAAATAAAAACATTTTTCTAATATTGACCTTTGACACTACCATATTAGAGTTCTTGATATTCTAAACAAAAGCCAAAGTAAAGAAAAAAAATGTAAATACTTTGAACCTACCGGAAAAAACACGCGTTTTATATAACGCTTATAGAATGACCATATTGCATAACATTTCGTGAACATGATACAAGTTACTATTTTTTGAATGTACACACTTTCTTGTTTGGATTTTACAGAATTTGTGAATGTACACATTCTGTTTTTTTTCATAGGGTATGTGAATGTACATAATTTTGTGTTTTGCATAGAGTTTGTGAATGTACACAATTTTGTGTTTGCTTTCACAGAATTTACTCCACCATCTCCATCTCGATTACAATTTTGATCTTAATATGGATGGTGTCGCTAAACTATACAATAGGTGAGTTAGTGGCTCTGGTGTAGAGATAAGAGAGGGGTATTCAGTGAGTTGTAGCCTATGTACCTGTCACAAAACTAGACAGTCATTAATGTCATATTAATACATAGTTATGGTGGTATACAGCAATATAACACTGTTTAAATCGATGTATTGAATGGTCGATGTAAAGCTTTACAATTTTTCTTATGAATGTTACGAGGATTATTCCCTAAGGTTAATTATGAACAAAAATTCAATTTATTCCCTACAGCTGTCAGAACCTAAAAACATTGGCTTTGTGTAAAGTTTGTAATTCTGAAGTGGAGGAGTGCGACAAAAAAAGCTGATTGGTTACGCTCTAGCTCGGCACTCAGCCAATCCCTCGTGTAGCGTCACGTTTAACGGCGCGGACGTGAGTGGACAAAACGCATGTCACACCAGCCTGTCGATGGTGGGATGGTGCTGTGAGCAGGTTAAAATATGGGCCGGGAAAGGTTGGACATTGGTTGAAATGCTGGTAGTGTGGTTCCAATCGTTCTTTTGATGCCTGAATATGATCGGCTATACATCCCATGAGAAAATTATTTGACATCGTAAATGCAGAAAAAATTAAATGGTTTTATAAGACAATGTGTGTTTAACGTTTGATTCATTAAACGTTAATTATTGACGATGTTATAACACTCAGAAAAGCAATGAAAATTCTAACGCGGACTTGTCGAGGAAAAAAAACCCAAAAGAAATGGAAGCTTTTTTATTTACTGAAAATAAGCAAATAAAACGAATTTACTTTCTTAAGAAATTATTTGTTATAAGGTATAAGCAGTGTTTCTGTCTAGCACCATACGTAAAATTGCTTTTGGACATCAGGTGGTTGATAACGCGATCTCCAGTACTTCATTATTGTAATAATAAGGTTCTCATGAGTTCAAAATGACTGCTTGTATAAGTACAACCTACTTTCGCTATAGGACGTAATGTGTTGTTAAGTACATTGTTTATCTTGTGTTTCTAATGACATACTCAACGCTTAACAAAACACGATCACATTTCGTATGTTACATTTTACAACTTGTCAACTGAGATTTACTAAAGAATAAATTCTTCAACTTTTCACATATTCTGAATATCCTGTCTTTGTTTTTTAAACAATAATTTAAATACATTACGTTTTAACGTTAATCATAAAGAAAAAAAACAGAAAATAAATGCCTGCATTTAAAAACATTTCATTTTATTCTTAATCACAAAAAACCCAGAAAATAACTGCCTGTATTTAAATATATTTCATTTTATCGTTAATCACAACAAAAAAAACTGAAAATAAATGCCTGTATTTAAATACATTTCATTTTATCGTTAATCACAAAAAAACAAACACCAATCTCTCGTCAATGGAAAAACTCGGAGAACTAAACAAAACGACCAACTAATCTATTCAAATGTCATTTCCCATCATCTCGTGCAGGGGTCTCCAAACTTTTCAGCCCGAGGGCCGCATTAACTATCAAATATCAGTTCGGGGGCCAGAGTTTCTTTAAGGCGTCTTTTCAGCCCCCCCCCCCCTCCCTCGAAGAATGTCTACCGCCCCCATCCCCCCCCCCACGAAATATAATTTATATAGAAATATAAACGAATTTCAAATGTCCCCACCCCACCCGAGGTCCACGTTTGCTCTCAAATTGTTCTTCACGTATTTCATTCTTGAAAATGTTTGTTCACACAGGTATGTTGTTCCAAAATTTGAAAGGTGCTTTGATGCAAAAGTTTTAATATTAGGAAAGTCTTCTTAGTGCACAAACTTATGAAAACCCATTCGCCCTTCTTTGAACGTGTCTCTAAGGAAGTCATTTTCTTGCACTTCAATGACCTCCTGCTGCAGTTCATCTTTGCAACTGGTCAATTTGCTTCAAATGGGCTTTGAAACAGTCTCACTTCTGCCTATGAATCCAAGTCAGACAACCTCTACTGAAACTGCAGCTGGGGGTCTTTAATGATCTCGTATGTTAATGACGTGGGGAACTCAGTGGTTGGTTCAGCCGTAAAGACCTTGCACTGCTGAAAGTATGTCAAGTTGTTAGCCTGTACTTGTTCCAAAAACATGACACGGTTGTATCTAACGGCCTTTAGGTGGGTGTATAGATCAGAAACTAGATTTCCCTCTCTTGCCGTTTTAGGTTCAGAAAATTTAAATGACTAGTTATGTCTGCAGCAGAGGCCAACTTCTATACCCACTCTTCATCAGACAACAACGGCTGTGGCTTGCCTTTACTTTCAGGAAGTCACCTATTTTTTTTCTTAACTTAAATACTCTGCTCAGAACTTTCTCTTAAAATTAGCAATCTTACTGATGTGAAATATGGTAAATCTTGCAATTTTATGTTTGTCTCTGAACTATCTATGGTAACTATCGTTAGATATCCTCTTCGGTAACTGTTATACATTCTATGTAGGGAAGCCAGCTCTTGTGTTATGTTCATGTCTTCATCCACACCTCTAATGAACACAAGAAGTTGAGGTGGAACAACCGTCCAGTAGCGTAGCGAGGGGGGGGGGGGACATATGTCCAGTGTTTCTTCCAGACTTTTTTCTCCGCGGGGGGGCACTTGAAATCTTCGGGGGGCGGTAAACTTTCTTCGGGGGGGGGGGGCGGACACTGTTAAAAGTAGATATTTTATATATAAATTATATAAATTTCATTTCGTTCGGGGGGGGGGGGGCGGTAAAAATTTTTCGGGGGGGCTTAGACCCCCCCCCCCCCCCGAAGAGATGCCTGGAAGGAACTCTGCATATGTCCCCGGGCGCCGACCTTAGGGGGGGCGCCAAATTGAAAGTTTGAGAGGGGGGGGTGCAAATGAAAAGTTCGAGGGGGGGGGGGGTGCAAATCGAAAGTTTGAGGGGGGGGGTGCAATTGAAAAGTTCGAGGGGGGTGCAAATCGAAAATTTGCTCCCAAGGGGGCGCCAAATTGAAAGTATGTCCCCGGGCGCCGGGAAGGGTCGCTACGCCTCTGCAACTGTCCAGTGACTCATCCATTGCAATTGAAAAATGGCGAAGCTTGCTTGCATTTTTCATTATTAGAGTCACTATGTTTTCACCAATGTCTGCAACACGGCGGGCATTGGTATTTGCACACAAAGATACATTTTCAAATGGTTTTGAATTTTCTGGGCAAAGCTCCTCGGCCATCTCCAACAAACATTTATTCAGTGGACAATAAGATCGTCGCGGGCCGGATAAAATGACCTCGCGGGCCGCATCCGGCCCGCGGGCCGTAGTTTGGAGACCCCTGATCTCGTGGATCAGTCAACACATCATTGAGCTCCCTATGAAAGGGAATATATTCTCCTTGAGTGAATGGCCAGGATTTTAATTTTAGTAAGGCTAGCTAAATTTAATTTTTTTACTTTTTTTTGCATTTTTTAAATTTGCGATTTATTATTAGTTTTAACCCATATTCTGCTAGCGTCCCACTTATGGGACGCTTGTAAAAAAATTGCTAAAATTTATTGAAAACTAGTTAAAACACAAATTATGTTTCACTGTATTCGAAAATGCCTAGACTATTGAATTTGTGTGTGTTTTGTGAAAAAAAATAATTTAGAAAAATGTTATAGTGCCGGATTTGCAGGACGTGTCAAAATGGCGGAAAAAAGAAAACATGCGCACAGGAAAATGCATATCTTCTAAAATATTAACACTTTAAGTGCAAAATACATTTGAAACTTGTAGCAGTACCACATTTCTATCTGATAAAAATTTAAGAATAACAATTTTTTTACTACTTCGTTATATCAAGTGTACAACAAGCGTCCCATAAGTGGGACGGTAGCAACGAATAGCCCCATGTAGATTGTTACACAAACGTCACATTTATTGGACACTAGCGAGAAACAAAGATGCAAATGTTTATGTTAAATGGTTATTTATGGTGAAACAATTGTTGACTTTGTTAACTGCTGACTTTGGGGTGTTAAGTAGTATTTATAGATATTTAATTATGACCTTGACCTATATTTATGCAGATTGTTACACACACGTCACATTTATTGGACACTAGCGAGAAACACAGATGCAAATGTTTATGTTAAATGGTTATTTATGGTGAAACAATTGTTGACTTTGTTAACTGTTGACTTTGGGGTGTTCAGTAGAATTTATAGATATTTAATTATGACCTTGAGCTATATTTTCTTATACATCATTGTATTAAAAAAATTGCAAATATTGAAAAACTTACATTTTATTTTAAGTTTTCAGAATTACACTTACTGAAGTATTTAATACCATTGAATATAAACTAATTTAGTATTGCTGTAAATTTACTAGCGCGTGATATTAAAATTATAACAAACCAGAATAATAACAATGGCCAGGATTTAGGTGAAATGATTCAGTCATGGGGGTTGGTTAACTCTCTTCATATAAGAGAGCTTAAGCTACATATAGCAGAAATGTGAATTAGCTGTGTACAGTTGTCATGCCCCAAAATAATATTCCCCTCCAAAAGTTACGAATACTAGTTTTACTTTGTTAACTTTTTAAGGAGATTTCTGGTGTTAGATTGGGAGCCGTTCGCATAGTGAGGTGCATACATGGATGAGAGCCTTGAACACTCAATACAAGCCCCCAGAGACGGATCCGTGCCCTAGAAATAAGATGTCTGATTTCCTAATGTACGCCTATGAGGGGGGGGGGGGGGGGGGGAATAGCGAGGGTAATAAAAGAGAAGATGGCTGGATGACATCTGGGACTGGACCGGATCATCTTTTGCAAATTCACTGAGGGCAGAGTTTCTTTCACGCATCATTTCGGAGGAGGGGGGGGGGGGGGGGCTCTGCCCCCAGAACAAAATGGAATTTATATACAAAACATACTTTTACCAATGTCCACCCTTCCCCTGAAATTTAAGCCCCCCCCCCTTGCAAATTTCAAGTACGCACTCCAAAAAATAAATTATTTATATTTAATTATATTAAAGTTTTGATGAATAATAACAACATTAGTGAGCATGTGTGTCTAATTAGATGTTCCAGTCACAGCTTTACGTATTTCCAAGTGTTATTCACTTTGATGGATGTTAGATTGAAAGAAAACTAGACTTTTGAACATAATTTTGCATTTTAGACCATGGTATGGCTAACCCAATTGATCATTATCAGTATTTTTAGCTGTCCTAAACAATGTAATCATTGGTCTAACAATACAAAATCAGTATACAGCTTAATTTTCGCGTGAATAGCCATATTTCGTGATAAATGATTTTATTTTTCAATAAATGTACATGGGGCCGTTCGTAGCTAGCGTCCCATTTATGGGACGTTTTTTAAAAAATCGATATTTAAAAAAGTATTGATTTTAAAAAAAAATCCATAGTCATTCCTTCATTCAGTGCCCAAAAGCTAAACCATATCAAAAAATTATAAAAATTTGAGACCTTGAGACAATATGGGTTAATATAATAGAAAATCTAATATGTAGGCCTAATAAAAAGAAATCAAATAAAATATGATCTTATGTAGTAAATTTCGTCTACCTAAAAAGGTAGCCTACTTATATCGGTAGCTTAGAACAAAAAATCCCCAGTTCAAAACCTTTGGTAGATTAGGCTTGAAAGCTGGGGACTGCAATACATCTAGAAGTAAAAACGCCAAATACAAACAACTGCTGTCTTGTAGTCTGTTCTTTGACAAAGTCAATGAAGAAAATCCAGACACCAAGGCAAATAATAGCAAAATAAATACAGAAAAATAATAATTCCACTTAATTAAGTTATTTTTTAGAGTGATAAATCATCTTTTAAGTCAAAGTTTTAAAAATAGAATAAAATCTCGTAGACAAAAGAATTGCACACTAAGTGAACGCCAAATTAAAAAAAAGTGCATAATAGTGCGCAATATTATTAGTACTTTAAAAATTTACATTAGTTTTTTGAGAAATCGGAAGTAAATTACTACTTCCGGTCAACGGAAATTACTCAAAGTTTAACAGAAGGTAGAGAATTAGATCTTTTACTTACATGTGAAATTTCATTTATCTATCTGAAATAGTACTCAAGTTATAGGCTTTTGAAAAATTCAAAGTAGGAAAAGTACCACTTCCGGTTATCGGAAATCGCTCAACAGTTGATACGGATCTACAATTTTGATAAAATACTTATATATGAAATTTCATCAACCTAGCTGTAACGGTACTCAAGTTATCGTGTTTACACACGGACAGACAGACAGACACACAGACACACAAACATACGGACAAGATTGCAAAATTATGTTTTTCCGTATCAGTGAGGTGTAAAACGTCGAGATTTGTAAAAATCTCGAATTTTTTTTTGCACGATTTCAAGACTTTCTCTATATTTCGTATATACGAGAAAGTAAAAAAAAAATGCTACATCGAGCTGTATTTATAACCGTCTATAGATAAAAATCGTTAGTATTATATCTAAGCAGAGTTTAAAGCAATCGCCTTGGGGGTGGGGTGGTGGGGTGAGTGGGGGGGGGGAGAAGTTACATTAACTCAACGTTATAAAATATGCCTGAGGTAAACGGTGTGGTTGAGAATCGTAATAACTGGTGTGTTAATCCATGTATAGGGGGGGGGGGGGGGTAAAAAGTTGAATACATTTAAAAAAATGTGAATACATATTCATATGCGTAGGCTATATACATACATACTTATATATATATATATATATATATATATATATATATATATATATATATATATATATATATATATATATATATATATATACATAACAAAGTGGTCGGGTGCCCGACGGCGCTTCAAATTTGGCAGGCTCCTGTCTTGGGGCAATAGAACACTGGGGTCTGTGGCGGTTGGCCACAAAGTCCACGAACAGGGCGTCAAATCTTACCTCGGCTGACCGGCGCCTTATATAAGCTATATTTCGAAAAACACATTTGCCGAACAACCCCTACCTTGATATGTTGTGAGATCGTAGACCGACCCTGGAGGGTAACAAAAAACTTTATTCTCGTGAAAAACCCCAATACACCGATGCATGGATATGAAAATACTCAAACTGTTTAAACTTAGGCCCTAAGCACTCCAGTAATTTGGTCGTGTCTATCAGGACTCATCCAACATCATAACCGTCGTTTTAGTGTCTCAGAATGCCTCCTAAATTTGATCCAGGAGCAACCTCCATAGTTTACTGCAGAGGTGTTGGAGGTGAAGTACCAGCCACTTCTTCACTTGCTCCTAAGATTGGACCTTTGGGCTTGTCTCCAAAGAAAGTTGGTGATGACATTCAGAAGAGAACCCCTGATTGGAAAGGTCTCAAAATAACAGTAAGGTTTGTAGTACAGAACAGACAAGCTAAAGTAGAGGTTGTTCCTAGTGCTGCAGCACTAATCATTCGTGCATTAAAAGAACCTCCCAGAGACAGAAAGAAGGTTAAACATGTCAAGCATAATGGCAACTTGACAATCGATGATATAATCAAGATATATATATATATATATATATATATATATATATATATATATATATATATATATATATATATATATATATATACTAGGCATACTAGTCGAGGGCTTTGAGTGAAATCGACAGTTTTCCCTAAAGGTCAAGCCATTTACCTAAGAGCATGCAAAACGTTAGCCAGATGTAAAGACTGTAAGTGCCCTAAAATCCGTTTTGAAATCACGCTCTGTTTTTCCGATAAAATACAAAGATTATATAGGGAAATACGACTGGTCAGTTTTGACCCATTTAACGAATTTTCCCGAACATGGCGAGTTTTTTGTGACACCCCAAGGTGTTTTTATACCACCTCACAAAATTTCAAGGGGGTTCGTCTGAGGAAATTTTTTTTCGTAATATAGCCCATATAAGGCGCCGGTCAGTCGAGGTCAGTTTTGACCCCCCCCTCCGTGAACTTTTCGGCAAACCGTCACCGGCCCTCGCGTTCTATCGCCCCAAGGCACCATCGTGCCAAATTTGACGCGCCTGTGGCGCCGGGAAGTGCCCTATCGGGCGCCTGACCACTTTGCTTTATATATATATATATATATATATATATATATATATATATATATATATATATATATATATATATATATATATATATATATATATATATATATATATAGCAGCACCGGGTGACACCCGACCTCACTACGCCACTGAGCGGAACACTATCATTTTGGCTTTTGAGCATCTGGAAGTAAGTTAAGCATTATTTCCGTTTACCGGTTAAAACGGATAAAATATTAATTTCATTACTCAGCACAATTACCATACTTCTTCTATACTCTGTATACGGGAAGGTAATTATTAGGAATTAGACGAAATAGATCTAGATAATGAAATTATTATTTTTAATTAATATATTTATACGGAAGTTAGCACTTGTCACTTTTCGTAAAACGTCATCAAATTATGTTTAGTATTTAATTGTATCCTGCGCAGATCCAAGATGGCGACTTTAAAGAGAATCCCCACACTTAAAGCTATAAACCAGCCTTTAGGATTTTAAACATGGTTTGTTAGATTATATTTTTAACTTATGCGAATGTATATGTTTCAAAATATACATTCATATATATTATACGTATACAGATCTATGTAATATTCTTATATGTAAATATATAGATCTATTTCTTTTAGACCGCCTACTACTGTCTTATTCCTGAGGTACTGGTAGATACATAGCATACTGACAGATGACTAATAAACTAACAGATACGATATATCTACCTGACGCAGTGTCATATACCTGAGACTTTGACAAACACTTGATTGACCCGCGTTTGTTAACTTTTCTAAAAACTCAGATGTTGTCAATGTGATAATATTAAACCAATGTTTTCAAGTAAATCAGAGTAACCCTGCAACCACCAAGAATCCTGGGACCACATTAGAACGTCGTGAGTCTGGTTGTAGCTTTTCATTCGTGGTCGTTCTCTAGCTGACACATCATGGGCAGTGACGTGTCTAGAGAAGGGTACTTTCATCTAAACAAACGTATCAAACCTGACAACGACCACACAATATTGAATGCAGACAACCTTGATAGCCCAGATTTTATTTAACAGATTTTAACATGTATGGTGGATCAAATGAAGTATCTCTGATTTCTGTATATTTGTCATATTTCTGTTAGAAATATTGTGTGTGTGTGTGCGTGTGTAATTATGTGTCTGTGCGCGTGTGTTTGTGTATTTTTGTGTGTGTTTTGGTGCACGTGTGCGTGTGCCTGTGTGTGTTTGTGTGAGTATCTGTATATGTGTGTGTTGTATTATGAAATGCTCACTGTTAGCAGTGGCGTCACTAGGTCGGATGTCACACGGTTCTCATTTTATGTTGTGACCCCTCCCCCATACACACACCAAATGGACCAAGGTATATATATATATATATATATATATATATATATATATATATATATATATATATAATGTGTGTATTTGCGTATGTATTGCCGAGATTATCGATATGTACTTATAAGACTTTTAAACTCAAAATATTCATTAACTGAACTAAAAAAAGCCTTTTGTTTTCAAATATTTTGCAATTTCTTTGTCTTGGTGTCACCCCCCTCACCCTAAATGGTGTCTCATCTCTGTGAGTATCACCATAAGACATCGAGCTCTTGGATTAGACACCTATTATAGATGGTAGACATATCACATGTCATAGCCCAGTAACTGAACTTGAGTTCTAGGGTTGACAGTTCTGATCGCTGCCACTCTGCCAAGCCGGGACAGTCTTAAGGACAGCTCTAAACAAGTTAAGAGGTTGAATCTTAAAGCACTATAATATTCTTTCATTAAACTTTTGACCTTTTCCTGTACCTTAAGATTCTACTAACCCCTGACACCATCCAGTTTACAGAGGCTGACTGGAGCCGTCTACCTTACCTGGTCTTGGTTCAAGTCTTCCAACACCTGGACAACCCAGACAGGTACCACGCTGCTCTCACGTGTAAATCTTGGCTACTGACACTCTCTAGTCCAGTCTTGTGGCGCACGGTACACTTCAAGTTAAACACCAAATACGATGAATGTTTGCTCATTTTCATCAGAAGGATGGGGAAAGTTTTTCTGCACATTAGAGCCGATTGTGCAGGTCACTAAATTTTTTATTTTATTTACTATATATATATATATATATATATATATATATATATATATATATATATATATATATATATATATATATATATATATAAGGGGCGAGTGGAGACAGAGATATGAGATACCACTTCTGACACCATAAATGTTAGAGGGGGGGGGGGGGGGAGGGTAAGGGATCTGTCTTAACCGATAGAGAGATGGTGATGGTTTTTATTCTCTCAAATCCGTGCACCCTCGTTGTTACAAAGGGGTTTACCAGAGCTGAGCAAAACAAATTAAAATATCTAAACAACACCAGAACTAAACTAAAAATGAAACTTGTTAACCCACAGTTCAATACATTTATTTACCTATACCAGACGATACAATAGTTTACATGGTTACAATATCAGAATGTATAACAATTTACTATCATCACTCTTCATACTTTCAGTACCATAACTCAAAAACCACCCAGCCAGACATACAGCAACATGACATGGACTGGCAACAGAACAGCTTCTCGATGACAGTCTCAGCTTGACATCACGTTAGGTACTGGACACCGTCTTACCGTCTGTTATAGCGGCAACATCTCTACGACAGTTAGGGGACAGCATCTCCACCCTCAAGACAGCAACTGGACAGCATCTCACAGAACAGGTCGACATCACGACGACAGGTACAGCGACAGCATCTCACGGGACAGGACAGGTCGACATCACGATAGGTACTGGACAGCATCTAGCCGGCAGGTACAAGTCGACATTACGAAGACAGATACTGGACAGCACCTCACATGACAGGCACAAGACAACATAACATCAGGACATTTGTCCACTACCACAGCTTGGCTAACAACATCAGCCCGCCTTTGCGGCCAGCCTTACAAGGGCTTGATTATCCTCTAGCCCCAGCTATGTGTGTCTGCTTTCCTGTCTCTAGTTTCGCCTTCTTAAATAACAGACGATTGTCCAGGTGTCAGGGTAATTATGCAGCAACACTTTCCACTCAAGCCTAACCTAATTTACATGTCGCCCACAGTTCTGGGGTACCTGATTAAAATATCAGACCCTACACATAACCTTCCCCCCCCCCCTGCTTTCTCCGTCCGTCACCATTACGGTCACCCAGGCCAACACGATACGTTACTGCTACACCTACCCCACACTGATGCCATCGTCTGATATAATTTAATTCTAACACGTACTTAGTTGACTGTCTCCATCTAGGCCTATTTAATCTGGTCACGTGTATCGTCAACCCTACACCTGCAATTTACACTAGCCTCCATAGTTTATGTCTGAACGTATAATGACCGTGAGAACCCTGGGTACCATTCCATACCAGCACACATATATAAATTGCTAAGAGTCAATGTTTAGCATTGAGAATTTAAGAACAAAAATGACTGAAACCAAATACCAATTCTATTACAGCGCAGACAGCTGGAGATATCAGCTATAGCTTAAGATTCTTGTGCCATTTTATCGAAGCTCTACTGACCACTAACAACCAGCAACTGGTAACTCTCAGCCTGACTGGCATGGAGATGTGGAAATTATTCTCCGTTTACCTCAAGTGGGAGTTAGTCGAACAACTGGCCATTCTGATAGAAAACCAGCGAAATCTTCAAGTACTGGATCTCAGCCACGCTAAATTAAATAAAGATCAAGGTCGGTAAAGCTGATGTAAACACTTGTTCAAAAACAAACAAACATTAAAATATTATATTCGCATGTCAGCAATACCACAGTCACCAAATAGTAAATGCTTATTGCAACAACAAATCAGGTTTCCGGTTGCTAGAAGCTGCAGCCAGCCATCAGTGCCGACAGACGATCCACACCCTGGACATTGACTGGCTCATTAACCAAAAGGAGTCAGGGGGTGCAATCAATGATACAAATTTTCATCACTTCATGTCCCGTTTTAGCAACTTAGCGGGTATGTTTTGTTTCTTTAAGTTTTATCAAGCTGTTTTTATTTTTTGTTATTTGTTTGCCTGTAGAGTTTTACACTTTTTGGGGTCGACTCAACATGCACCAACCTTAGCAATTATGTTTATTTGTTTTAACCTAACTAAATCATATACTTATTTTCCATATATAACATCCATAATAAACATGGAAATAATCAAACTTTCGAAATGTTAGTGTTGGACAAGAGAAGTAACATTCATATTTTGTGAACTTCGTCGTTTGGCTGGAATTGAAGAAAAAGCAGCTCTTTTTTCATACAAACCTGAAGTATTGAAAGTACCTTTAAACCACAGCAAAAATTATATACTGAGACAACACACACCGAACCACAACACACTGAACAACAACACACCAATTCACAGCACTCCAAACTACAATACACCGAACCACAAAACACAAAATCACAACATATCCTACCACAACACACAAAACCGCAACACATCTAAATGTTACTACCAGAACTGAACACAGTCCCAACTTTCAGACTTGAAGCTGAGCCACCTCTACATGTCAGACGACCTGCTGTACCTGCTAGCTAAGACAGCCAGCCACAGCCTGAGGTTGATCTCTATCATCACAGAGGATTTTTTCGTAATAAACCATCCTCCAACTACCAGTACAGCCTGGCAGTATATGAAGTCTGCATGTCCAAGCCTCAATGTTGAAGTTTTTATAAACCCATTAAAGGTGAGCTCACCAAGCAGCTGGCCCCGTTAGGCTGATAGCTGAGAGAGCAAAGAGTTCTTACAACAACACCGACATCAGCACGCAGACATCACACCTAATCAAAGACAATTGACGTAAAAAAAGACATCTTAATTTTGTAACGGGAATTCCCGCTGGTTATTATCTGTATCTAATTTTTCGCACGACGGGGATTTCGTTTTTGTCTGTTTTTTTTTTTTTTAAGCTCGAAGGGAAATCCATTTTTGTCTGTCGCACAAAACATGATGATCGCTGTGTATTTTTTACCTCACCATAGTACGTACCTTTTTTTAAGCAGACGTTTTAACAGAAAATATAGCAGTTTAAAGTTTTACTACATTCTCGATTTTAAAGGAAAGATTGAAGAAACAATTTCTTTTAAGAGCTATGTTTATGTTTTATAGCTTCAAAGTTTCCAACAAATGACATTGCTTTGCACCGCAAATATTTTTTTAAATCAATAACAGTTTAGAAGCCAGCTTCTAAATATCCTCTATTTTTACTTTCATCTTTCCATTTGAGGAAAAGCTTGTGGAATTATAGTCGTTCACTAAATTTAATCAGGCGCGTCCGCCGGCGCTCCGGCAGGGTTGTGTTTTGGCGCCCTGGGTTACCCTGTTAGCGCTATGGTGCATAATTTCGTTCTAAACAGTGCGATAGACTACGGGTAAGAAAAGTTACTATAGTCTTTAATTAAATCAAATCCAGACGTCCACCGGCGCCCCGACAGGGTGCTATTTTTCGCCTCTGGCCTTCCCGTGTGCGCTATGGCGCCTACGTTCTTTTAATTGAATGCATAAGACTAAGAATAAGTTTGGATACTATAGTCGTTTACTAACTTAATTCAGGTGGTTCCGCCGATGCCCCAGCTTGGTGGTATTTGGCGCCCCGGGCTGGATTATGAGCAGTACGTGTTTACGTGTAGGTTTCAGTTGTGTTTGTATTTGTGTTTGCGTTTGCGTTTTTGTTTTTGTTTGCGTTTATGTTTTATTTGTGTTTGGGATTGGGTTTGAGTTTTTGGTTGGGTTTGTCTTTTTCGTTTGTATTTGTTTGTGTTTGTTCTTTTTAGTGTTTGTGTTTTCTTTGTGTTTGCGTTTGTGGTTTGGTTTGTGTTTTTGTTTGTGTTTGTGTTTGCGTTCTCGTTTGTGTTATATTTGCGTTTTTGTGTTTGGTTTTAGTTGGTTGTGGTTAGGGTTAATTCGAACAGTAATATTTTTCCTAAATCCAAACAACGCCGGGTATATGCTGATTACTAAACACACAAGTCATGCTCCATTACAGGTAGGTTTTTCAGGGAGGCTAATGCAGGGCCTGGCCTTGACGGCTAGTTAGGTGTATATAAATAAAAGTCGATTGCGGTTTGACACCGTTTATCCGATCGTACTCAAACTTTGGGAATTCGTTGAGACTACTCCTTGGGAGGTTTGTGTGGGGAAAAAATGTCAAATTTGCAGGGGTGGCGACACGGCATGGCTCGATTTGTTTATTTCTCTATATATGGTATATAAGAAATAAAAGTCGATTGCGGTTTGACACCGTTCATCTGATCGCCGAGAAACTTTGGGAAAATTTTGAGAATACTCCTGGGGATGCTTCTGCTAAAAAAATCAAATTCTCAGTAATGGCGCGCTGGCAGAGTGCGGATTTTCTCTATATACAGTAGATAAAAATAAAAGTCGACTACGGTTGGACACCGTTCATCCGATCACCATCAAACTTTGGGGAGTTGATAAGAACACTCCAGGTTAGGTTTCTGTAAAAAATCGTTTTTAACTTTTCAAGGGCGGCGCCCCGGGAGGATGCAATTCTTCTCTATATTCGATAAACTAAGAAAAATGAAAGTCGGATGCGGTTCGACACCGTTTATCCGAGTGCCATAAAACTTTAGGCAGTTGATGAATACTCCCAAGAAGGTTTATGGGGGAGGGGGGTTTATTTTTGCAGTGGCGGCCCCTGGAAGGATGATGGCGACTACGTTTGTTATAAACAAAGTGGTAGACAATGTATAACATGGGCCGTTATAGTTGCTCAATTAATTGAATCAGGCGTGTCCGCCGGTGCCCTGGTAGGGTGCAATTAGACTGCGAACAAAACTTTCAGTTTCCTCCCCCAAAGGCTCACATGGACCGCTGGTTAGGTTATTAACTTGTTTGTTTCTTTTTGTTCGTAAAAAAATCCAAACAGATTCGTAACTTTGATGCCATTAGCATTAATTTTTAGACGTTCCAATCAGAAATTGTGATCAAGCTTCCAATAATACACTATTAGTAACGCTAGCAAATTGCAGCAGTCACACTATGTTTATACCACATCAAATCCGTTTTTTTTAAATAATTTTTGTTGATTTGTGCACTTTTAGCAAATCACGCAATCTGCATCATTGTTAACATGATGCTATGTGGCGCTATGGGTTATACTTTTAGCACTCTGGCGCTTATGTTATTTTTTAAAAGCCAGGGCCGTATGTGATGCCTCTATGGTAGTAAAATCGGGGGCTCCCGAGAGGGGCAATTCTACGTCCTTGTGAGATCGTAGACAGACACTGGAGAGTAACAAAAATAACTCTATTCCCGTAGGAAAAAACCATTAGGGTCGTTAGATTTGTTCAGATGCCGTATTTTCTTACATAAACAATTATTTGTGAAAAAGGTAAACAAAGACTACGTCATTTTGCCTATGTACAGTGGAGGTAACTTTTTAAAGTAGTACCTTTTAAATGCGGTTATATTATGTTAAAGAAAAACAAAAAATTACAAAGTATAGCTTACATTTCCATAGAAATTTCGTTATAAATAAAGTTATGAATTGTACTTAAAATGTAAAAATCAATTGCTTAAGTAAATTGAATATAATATTTGATTCATTCTATTAAAAAATATTTTGCAATTCTAAGAACCATGAGAGTTATAAGTTTGCAAATACTCCATTAATGTTTGCATGACATAATATTACTCAAACTGTTTAAGCTTAGGCCCTAAGCATTCCACATAACAGGCAATCACAAATTAGTTAAACATCGAGCCATTCAGTGCTTTTACATTGCATCGCCTTGTCTTATTATAAGTAATAGAGTAGAGTTTTTTTATATAACGACTTAAATTTATTGTAAATTTGCCACAGTTTTTACTCTCTAGCATAACGTAAAGAAAATATTAAATACACGCACATTGCTAAAACATATTAAACGGATCAATTTCAAATATAATTTTTGTTTAGATTCCTTGAAAAAGTGGATACATTTTCATAACAGTAGGGTCGAAAAAAAACCTAATTAATTCAACAGTTTATAATTTTGACATGGGAGGTAATTTACAAATAAATTCTGGGCGCGCACACCTATGAAAGCGTGTTGTTCGGTGGCGATTCTAATGTTGTGGTTGTGTTTTTGTGTGTGTGTGTTGTGTTGGTGTTGTTTGTGTTGTATTTGCAATGTGTTTGTGCTATGTTGTGTTTGTATTTGTGTTTGTGTTGTATTTGGTTTGGTTTGGTTTGTGTTGTGTTGTGTTGTGTTTGTGTTATGTTTGTGTTATGTTTGTGTTGTGTTTGTGTTGTGTTTGTGGTGTGTTTGTGGTGTGTTTGTGTTGTGTTTGTTTTTGTGTTGTGTTTAGTTTTGTTCCGTTCCCAAGTTGGTACATTTAAAAAAAAATATTTACCGTGGCGGAGGACGGGTATGCAGCTAGTTAATATATAATCAGACAAATTATTTTCTAGTGATTTTTAAACTAATTTACAAATCCGTCGCTCCTATACTAGCCTTATAACAGTACACATTAATATATCTATCCAGTTACTGTTTTCGTTGATAATTCTAAAAACATTGCTGTGTTTCTCTTAGGGTCGGGAGTTCAGATTTCCAGTGAATGCGTTTCTAATCCCTTGTATGCCATTACATAAATTATATTGGAACTGTAGCAGTTCAAGTTTTCAACTTGGCCTGGCACACATCGCAGACAACTTTCAGGTATGTTGTTCTTGGTTGGTTCGGCGAGCTCTCACACTGTAGTTCTATTTTCCCAGATGTTAGTGTATCAATATGTGAAAGCCAGCCCTATTATTATGCTACTTGATTTGTGATGCACCATAAATTAACCGATTTCCTTCCACTTCGGTAGATAGTTAATACAATTTTGGACTTCTGGTGTACAACCAAACATTTCACCCGGACTTGTTTCTGCCAATCTCCCCTAGTACCTGGCAGCGGAGGTTGTAGGATTGGGCTTAATTAGCAGGCTTGATTAAAGATTGGGTTAATTAGCTGGCTTGATTAATATTAACCTGTTTGTTTCCATATATAATAAACCGGGAGTGATCTCCCCAAAACTTTCACGAATATTCTTATATAAAATAACAGGATATGGGAACTCGGGCTATAGACATGATTTTTAATCCATTTTAAATACTTAAAGTTTTTAAAATAGAATAAAATCTCGTAGACAAAAGTGAGCGGCAAATAAAAAAGTGCATAATAGTGCGCAATATTATTAGTACTTTAAAAATTTACATTAGTTTTTTGAGAAATCGGAAGTAGCGTCAATTACTACTTCCGGTCCACGGAAATTACTCAAAATTTAACAGAAGGTAGAGAATTAGATCTTTTACTTACATGTGAAATTTCATTTATCTATCTGAAATATTACTCAAGTTATACGCTTTTGAAAAATTCAAAGTAGGAAAAGTACCACTTTCAGTTATCGGAAATCGCTCAAAAGTTGATACGGATCTACGATTTTGATAAAATACTTATATATGAAATTTCATCAACCTAGCTGTAACGGTACTCAAGTAATCGTGTTTAAACACGGACAGACACACACACACACAGACAGATAGACACACAGACATACGGATAAGATTGCAAAATTATGTTTTTCCATATCAGTGAGGTGTAAAACGTCGAGATTTGTAAAAATCTCGATTTTTATTTTGTACGATTACAATACTTTTTCTATACTTTGTATATACGAGAAAGTAAAAAATGATTGTTCGAATATTTTCTTGGATGTTTGCTGTTGATTAGTGCGTGTGTGTGTGTGTGTGTTTGTGTGTGCATGCGTGTGTGTGTGCGTGCGTGCATGCGTGTGTGTGTTGATATTGGATGTAGAACAGTATTTCTTCCAGACTTATTTCTTAGGGGGGCCTTTAAAATTTACGGGGGGGGGGAGACTTTCTTCTGCTAAAAGTATATATTTTCTATATGAATTTCATTTCGTTCGGGGGGGGGGGGGGGTAGACTCTCTTCGGGACGGCTCTTCCCTCCCACCCCCATGAAACAAAAAACTATTTATTCAACGAGTGAGAAGTTTGTTATCTTTTTTTTTTTTCATAGAACTCATTGCGGCAGCTCCACGTCATTTTTTGGGATTTTCCCGATAAAAATTCCCTCCTGGACCTGATCATAAGGTAATTTGATCCTACGGTATTGCTATCATTCTAGCTATGTAGTGTTACCACGCTGCTACATATTCTTACAGCACTTGCGTATATTTAAAAATACATTTTAAACCCATTTTCTATAAAAAAAATTAGTAGCATGTACCATATAGATGAGCGTATGATTGCTCAGTTCATAATAGCCCCCAACACTACAATACTTATTTAGTTTCTGTTTTGTTACTTTACGAACAACAGATGATCCAAAACTAATTTATTATTTAAGGAAGTTATTCTGGAGACACGCCCAAAAACCTGACCGAATCAGATTATACCTTATCAAACCACCTTCTAAACTCTTAATTTTTCTTGTTTCCCACTCCGGCTCCCCAAAAATCATATGCCTAGGTACGCTTCGTCAAATAAATGCATTTTATAAAGCATAAGACTTAAAAATCCAGCCTCCCCATCTCTTTTCGAACTATTGCCTTCATGACTTTTTTGCTCTCCGAAATTCCTCTTTCCCAAAGCATTCCACATTAACCTAGTATGTTGTAACCTGTCTTTCTGAAGGCAGCGCCCATCTTTGAAGGAAAACGTTTTGATTAATGTATTTGTCATAGGTGTCACAGTTTAGAAACCTTGTCAGTAGAGGCTTCAAACCTGACAAGTGGCCAGGAAGACAGCATCGAGGATGTCATCAAACTTGGTCTTGCCGGTCACCACTCCAGCACACATGCCTGTGTTGCCACGTTAAACCATAAGGACGTGAGTTTAAAGGCAGACGACAATCTTTTGTTGGAATCGGACGTGAGTGGACAAGACGCATGTCCCACAGGCCTGTCGATGGGTGGATGGTGCTGTGAGCAGGTTAAAATATGGGCCTGGAAAGGTTGGACATTGGTTGAAATGCTGGTAGTGTGGTTCCAATCGTTCTTTTGATGCCTGGATATGATCGGCTAGACATCCCATGAGATAATGAATTGACATCGTAAATGTGAAACAATTAAATGGTTTTATAAGACAATTTGTGTTTTTTGTTCGATTCATTAAACGTTAATTATTGTCGATGCTATAACACTCAGAAAAGTAATGGCAATTCTAATGCGGCCTGGTCGAAAAAAAAAACTGAAATAAATACAATAAAACGAATTTACTTTCTTAAGAAATTATTTGTTATAACGTATAATCAGTGTTTCTAGCATCTCTCCGGGGTATGGTATTCCACTTGCCACCCCCTTCCCCTTTTTTTCCACCCCGAGGAAAATGTTCGCATTAAATCCAATCGGTACCTGGCGATCTAAGTCTAACGGCTTAGTTTAATAACTGCTTGTATAAGTACAACGTACTTTCTCTAAATGACGTAATGTGTTGTACAACACATTATTTATCTTGTGTTTGCTAAGGAAACACTCAATGCTAAACAAAAAACGATCACATTTCCATCACATTTTACAACTTGTCAAAATTTGACATGACCTGTGGTTGACTAAAGAACACATTCTTCAACTTTTCATTATGTTCTGAATATCCTGTCTTTTTTATTAAAAAAATAATTTTAATACATTTCGTTTTAACGTTAATCACAAAATAAAAACCAGAAAATAACGGCCTGTATTTAAATACATTTCATTTTATCGTTAATAAAAAAAAAACAGAAAATAACTGCCTATATTGAAACACCGATCTCTCGTTAATGGAAAAACTTGGAGAACTAAATAAAACGACAAACTAATCTATTTAAATGCCATTTCCCATCATCTCGTGGATCAGTCAACACATCAATGAGCACCCTATGAAGGGAATAATATATTCTCCTTGAGTGAATGGCCAGGCTTTTAATTTTAGTAAGGCAAACTAAATTTAATTTTTACTTTTTTTTTTGCATTTTTTAAATTTGCGATTTTATTACTATTTTTAATATAATAGAAAATCTAATATGTTGACCTAATAAAAAGAAATAAAATAAAATATGATCTTATGTAGGAAATTTCGTCTACATGAAAAGGTAGCCTACTTATATCGGTTGCTCAACACAAAAGTCCCCAGTTCGAACTCTTTGGTAGATTAGGCTTAAAAGCTGGGGACTGCAATCCATCTAGAAGTAAAAACGCCAAATAAAAGCAAGTGCTCTCTTGTAGTCTGTTCTTTGATAGAAAAGACTATTGAAGAAAATCCAGAATGAAAAGTTGGCTATTTGAGTCAACGGCTTTTATGGTGCAAAACAGGTAGACGAGTAATAAAGTTGGAGAAAATCCCATCCAACATTATGATAAAGGACGAAGAAAGAGAAAAAAGTAATCCATGGATAAGATCTTATAATTAGATATGGAATTTCGTCAACCTAATCGAAACAATACTTACGCAGCTGTCTTCACACGGAACATAAGAAGTGAGTAATAACTGAGTTACTAAATGTCTTAGAAACGAACAAACAAACAAACAAACAAAGAGTGAAAACCAAATAAAAGCTTATCACAACTAGGTTATGTTCGATCAATAATGAAGTCTTTAAGAATCAGTTGCAGATCTTTATAAAATGGAACTCTAAACAAACTTAATTTATAACAACGCAGTAAGAAATGATTTATATCAATACAAAGTGCAAGTTTACACTTGCATCACAAAGTTTGGAGCAAACATTGACGCAGATAATCTCATCAGATAGTAATAGACATCAATGAGTTGACGAAGATAATATCTTCCATCAATGTTTTAATACGAATAAAATCGGGCTTTTGTTAGTAGTGCCTTCATGACGTAAGAATTGCAGTTTAAAAAAGTAAGATAACAAAATATAGAAGTTTATGACAAGCGGAAATATGTGTGAATAAGCTTTTTGAGAATACCATTTCAAATTATCTAACTCTGTAGGAATTTAAGATATCGGAAACGGTGCGAAATAACCCGGGAGTTTTCTCCCCTAAACTTTCTCGAATATTCTTATATAAAATAACTGGGAATGGGAACTCGGGCTATAGACATGATTTTTAATCCATTTTAAATACTTAAAGTTTTAAAAATATAATAAAATCTCGTAGACAAATAACTTGCACACCAAGTGAACGCCAAATAAATAAACCGGGAGTGATCTCCCCTAAACTTTCTCGAATATTCTTATATAAAATAACAGGGGATGGGAACTCGGGCTATAGACATGATTTTTAATCCATTTTAAATACTTAAAGTTTTAAAAATAGAATAAAATCTCGTAGACAAATTAATTGCACACCAAGTGAACGCCAAATAAAAAAGCGCATAATAGTGCGCAATATTATTAGTACTTTTAAAATTTACATTAGTTTTTTGAGAAATCGGAAGTAGCATAAATAAATACTTTTGGTCAACGCAAATTGCTCAAAATTTAACAGAAGGTAGAGAATTAGATCTTTTACTTACATGTGAAATTTCATTTATCTATCTGAAATAGTACTCATGTTATAGGCTTTTGAAAAATTCAAAGTAGGAAAAGTACCACTTCCGGTTATCGGAAATCGCTCAAATGTTGATACGGATCTACGATTTTGATAAAATACTTATATATGAAATTTCATCAACCTAGGTGTAACGGTACTCAAGTTTTCGTGTTTACACACGGACAGACAGACAGACAGACAGACAGACACACAGACATAATTATGTTTTTCCGTATCAGTGAGGTGTAAAACGTCGAGATTTGTAAAAATCTCGATTTTTTTTTTTTTGCACGATTACAAGACTTTCTCTATACTTCGTAAAAAAACGGGACTATGCACTTGTTTCTTTTCGTAAAACGTCATCAAATTATGTTTAGCATTTTTATATCCTGTGCAGATCCAAGATGGCGACTGTTAAGAGAATGTCCACACTTAAAACTATAAACCAGACTTTAGGTATTTAAAAATGGTATGTTAGATATTTTTAACATGCACGAATGTATGTTTCAAAATAAACTTTCATATATAATATACGTATATATGTATCATTCTTACATTTAAATATATTTTTTTTAAACTTCTGATGTTTTGATAGATTCAGATAGATACATGACATACTAATAGATGACTAATACACCAACAGATACCTAATATACCTGATATCTAATGCATGACATTTTAACAAATAGACTACCTGACTTTCTAACGAATTAGCTAACACAGTGTCATATACCTGAGACTGACAAATACTTGACTGACCCGCGTTTAGTAACTTTTCTCAAAACTCAGATGTTGTCAATGTGGTGACATAAAACCAATGTTTTCAAGTAAAGCAGATTTACCGTGCAACCACCAAGAATCCTGGGACCACATTAGAACGTCGTGAGTCTGGTTGTAGCTTTTCATTCGTGGTCGTGCTCTAGCTGTAACATCATGGACAGTGACGGGTCTAGAGAAGGGTACTTTCATCTAAACAAACGTTTCAAACCTGACACCGACCAAACAATATTGAATGTAGACAACCTTGATAGCTCAGGCGAAAGTAGTACCGAGCAAAGTTTGGTAGGTTATCGCTTTAGTAAAACAGATTTAAAAAGTGTGGTGTCTGTTTTCTGCTTCTTAGTCGTTTTTATGTTAGAAATAATGTATATGTTTCTGTGTGCGTGCTTGTGCAATTTTTTTGTGTCTGTGTGTCTGTATGTGAAAGAGAGTGTGTGTGTTTGTTGTGTGTGGTACTTTGAGATGATCACCTTATCAACATTATACGATGTGCTCTTGGATCATACACATTCGAGCAGGGAGACATTTCACACATATTAGCCCAGTAACTGAACTCGAGTTCTAGGGCTGACAGTCCTGATCGCTGCCACTCGGCCACGCCGGTCCAGTCTTAAGGACAGCTCTAAAACTTTGAGAGATTTCATCTTAATTCACTATAATTATAGTTAATTAAACCTTTAACCTGTTTATGTACTAAAACTTTCACCCCTAAAGATATTATTAACCCGTGACACCATCCAGTTTACAGAGGCTGACTGGAGCCGTCTACCTTACCTGGTCTTGGTTCAAGTCTTCCAACACCTGGACCAGACAGACAGGTACCACGCTGCTCTCACGTGTAAATCCTGGCTACTGGCACTCTCAAGTCCAGCCGTGTGGCGCACGGGACACTTCAAGTTAAACACCAAATATGATAAATATTTACTCATTTTCATCAGAAGGATGGGGAAATCTTTTCTGCACATTAGAGCCGATGGTACAGGTTAGTAGTTTTTATTTTATTTTAAATCAATTTATATTTATATATAAAGTTAAGAACCAAAATTACTGAAACCAAATACCAATTCTATTACAGCGCAGACAGATAGAGGTATCAGATATAGCATAAGATTCTTGTACCATTTTATCGAAGCTCTACTGACCGCTAACAACCAGCAACTGGTCACTCTCAGCCTGACCGACATGAAGATATTGGAATTATCCTCCGTCCATCATAAGTGGGAGGTGGTCGAGCAACTGGCCATCCTGATAGAAAACCAGCGAAATCTTCAAGTACTGAATCTCAGCCACGCTGATTTAAGTATAGATGAAGGTTGGTAAAGCTGATGTAAACGCTGTTCTAAAACAAACTAATATTAAAATATTATATTCGCATGCCAGCAATACCACAGCCACCAAATAGTAAATGCTTATTACAACAACGAATCAGGTTTCCGGTTGCTAGAAGCTGCAGCCAGCCATCGGTGCCACAAGACCATCCACACCCTGGACATTGACCGGCTCATTGACTATACGCAGGCCGGGGATTTCAGCACTGATAAAAAATTTTATCATTACATGTCCCGTTTTAGCAACTTATCAGGTATGTTTTGTTTCTTAAAATTTTATCAAGATATTTTCTTTTGAATTATTTGTTTGCCTGTATAGATTTACACACTGAAGTATTGAGTTTCTTTAAACCACAGCAAAATCTACATACTGAGATAAAACACATCGAACTACAACACACTGAACAACAACAAACCAAACTACCAAACCAAACCACAACACAACGAACCACAACACACCAAACCACAACACACCAAACCACAACACACCGAACCACAACACACCGAACCGCAACAGACCGAAACGCAACATACCAAACCACAAGACAGCACACCACAACACACCAAACAACAACACTCCAAACCACAACACACCGAACCACAACACACCGAACCGCAGCAGACCGAACCGCAACATACCAAACAACAAGACAGCACACCACAACACACAAAACCGCAACACACCTAAATGTTACTACCAGAACTGAACACACTCCCAACTTTCAGACTTGGAGTTGAGCCAGCTCTACCTCTCAGACGAGCTGCTGTACCAGCTAGCCGAGACAGCCAGCTTCAGCCTGAGGTTGATAACAATTAGAGAAGAATACGTCAGATTAAACCGTCGTCAAACTACTAGTACAGCCTGGCAGTATCTGAAGTCTGCTTGTCCGAACTGCAAAGTGGAAACTTTCATCAACCCAAGAATTGTGAGCGAACTGGCCCCGTTAGACTGATAGCTGAAAGAGCATAGAGTTCTTCATCTTCTTCTTCTTCTTCTTCGTTCTTAATTTTTGAATATGGTGGAGGATTCAGACAACAAGTCCAACTTCGTGGACAAACCGGACTGTGGTTTCCAGTTTGTCAGGTGTCCCATATAATTTTTCCCTGAGTGGGGTGGGCTGGGGCCAGTGTCTGCCTCTTGCCTGGCCATACAGAGTACATTCCTGGAGTACATGCTCCGTGTTTTCCGGGGCCTTGCCACAAGGGCACATTTCGCTACACCCAACCTTCAGTTTTTTGTGCATGTGTTGATTTAGTTTGTTGTGGCCTGTTCTAAGTCGAAAGATTGTGTATTGTTTTTTTCGTGTTAAATTGTAATAGCCGTCGTCTTTAATGTAGTGAGGGTGTGCTTCAAACCACACTTACATAAACACCTAGACATCACATCTTTTTCACATACAATTTTAATCCATTTTTTTATTTGCTTATACATTAACAATTGTATCAATTAAATCATGGAACTACATAAATTATACAGAAATCAAGACTTGACAAATCTTACATACGCAAAAATACCATATATAAATATATGATTGTAAAAGACGTTCAAACTATCTTTATTTTCTAACATCAGGTTAATTACCGACACCGTAAAAAATCCACCAAAATGATTGTCTTGGTTTTTTATAATATGCTAGACTACCCAGTTATTCATGAATAACCGTATGTTTAAAGGGTCATCAATAAACAACGTCATGTTTACTTAATTATTCCAAAAGACGTCACACCTCAGACATGTTTTTGTCTTTTAAAATACTGATTTCGGCTAAGCATAGGTCTAAACACACTATCCCTTCATATGCTGAGAATAAAGAAACAGGTGAACTCTAATACACCTGCTCCATGTCCCGCCAAGTTCCGATAGGCAATTTTATCATTCGCATCTAAAGAGAAAATTCAAAAAAAAAAATTAGCATTGACATGACGTGTCTCGAACCCTTTCCACCCTCATGGTAACCATTACACTATCAGCTCATCTATCTGGGAAGTTCAGATTATAAGAAAAATTTGTTGCATAGTTACATAGAGAGTCCGCGTAAGTAACTTAAGTTTTCAAATTAAATTGTATCCCAAATTGGCCAATTCTATAGCTAAACAAAGATTTATATAAAATAAGTGGTTAATCTTCCAATCAATATATCAATAAATTTATTAACATCTTTAAATTAATTTGTGATTAACAAGTTGGTCAAAAAGAACATTATTCTCTACCTAAATACGTATTTTACAGCTCTATACATAGTGCAGATTCTATCCTGTAACCAAATAGACCAAAAAAAAATAATAATAATAATAATTTTTAAAAAATATACAAACATGTCAAGAAACTTGAGTTTTAGTAGTAGATAGATAATCAGAAAAAAATATTGTCTAGAGTTTTATTTTTTTAAACATTCAAATAACTATCAAGTTATTGTGTTCGTTGATAATCCTAAAAACCTTGTTACTCTGTATTTCTCTCAGGGTCGGCTGTTCGACTTTTCAGTGCGTGAGATTCTGACACCATCTATGCCCTTACATACATTAAACTGGAACTGCGGCAGAACGGCAGACACAGATACTTTTCAACTTTGCATGCAACACATCGCAGACAACTTTCAGGTATGTCGTTCTTGGTTGGTTCGGCGAGCTCTCACAATGTAGTTCTATTTTCCCAGATGTGAGGGTATCAATATGTGAAAACCAGTCATATTATTATGCTACTTGACTGGTGATGCATCCTAAATTGACCGATTGCCTTCCACTTCGGTAGATAGTTAATACAATTTTGAACTTATGAAGAACAACCAAACATTTTACCCGGCCTTGTTTCTGCCAATCTCCCCTAATACCTAACAACGGAGGTCGTAGGATTGGGCTTAATTAGCAGGCTTGATTAAAGATTGGCTTAATTAGCTAGCTTGATTAATATTATCCTGTTGTTTCCATTTTATAAAATGATTGTTCGAATATTTTCTTTGATGTTTCCTGCTGATTAGTGTGTGTGTGTGTGTGTGTGTGTGCGCGTGTGTGTTGATATTGTGTGTAGACGGGTTAGTTCAACTTGTGATGTGTTCACTAGTGCAACAAAACTATTTATCCAACGCGTAAGCAGTTTGCTATCGTTTTTTGTAGGATTCATTACGTCATCTTCACATCTTTTTTTGGGATGTTCCCGATAAAAAATCCCTCCTGGATCTGATCAAAAGGTATTTTGCTGTCATTCTAACTGTGTAGTGTTACCACGCTGCTACCTATTCTTAAAGCACTTTTGTATATTTAAATTTACGTAATAAAACTATTTTCTAGAAAATTAGTAACATGTACCATATAGATGGGCGTGTGATTGCTTGTTTCATAACAAAGCCCAATACTGCAATGTTTATTTAGTTTCTGCTTTGCTAATTTGTGGAACGTAACAGATGATCCAGAAATAATTTACTATTCTACCAATTTGTTCTAAAGACAAGACAAAAAATGGTATTTATTGACAATGCATAGAAACTTTACGTTGAATTTCTAAAAGCATTCTTTCGTAGCTGCTTCACATCTTAACATTAGAAAGTTTTTTGTTGTTGCTGCTTTTTTTTTTTGCTTTTTTAACCAGGACAGTTTGTTCTGCACTCGCTATTGTCTCGAGAATACTTTTTGAGAAATGTCTGTGTCATAGGTGTCACAATTTAGAAACCTTGTCAGTAAGGACTTCAAACCTGACAAGTGGCCTGGAACGCCGCATCGAGACGGATATCAAACTGGGTCTTGCCTGTCACCACTCCAGCACCCACCCCTGTGTTGCCACCTTGAACCATAAGGACGTGAGTTTAAAGGACACGTGGCAGACGACAATCTTTTGTTGGCTGGCAAAACTTGTGTAAAGTACGGGGATGTTCAGGGCGGAAAGACGGTGGCCAAGAGTTGATAGCTTGTGTGTAACACAGAAGCACAGGCAAATTTGGTAGTGTATCTGTAAAGCGTATTGTGGTCAGGGGCAATTCAACCGTAGTCATGAATATAATACTGTGCAGGTCATTTCTGGTCATAGACTGACCGTGAGCGATACAATTATTACGTTTAGTGCCATCACCTTTAAGGTCGTCTTAACTAAAACGGGCAAGCAGATAATGGTTTGCATTTCTTAAATACGTGAATTTTATACGCTATATGGATTTTATACACCGAGTGTATCATCAACAACTTTAAATATAAAATATAATACAAAATCGCTTGACGTGTTGTTTAGTAATTTTTATTTCTGAGTTTGTTACTGTCCTGATTAAAGTGTGAGAACTTGTATCGACCAAATTTTTTGTCAAGCATATTATGTATCTTGTGTTAGACGTATAAAACAAATATGTTGTCCAGCACACTATTTGTCTTGTGTTTGATGTGTAAAACAAATGTGTTGTTAGGCACATTATTAGCATATTTTTGGCTTTTGGTAAATAAAATGGCTTGTCAATGTAATTTTTTTTACCTACTGTTATTAAAATGTATCCATTTTTCTAGGGATCTAAGCGATAAGTTTATTTGACATTGATCCGTTTAATACGTATTAGTAATGCTCTCGTATTTAATATTTTCTTCACGTTAAGCAATATAGCTATCTGAAAAAGTAGTCAAGTTATAGGCTTTTGAAAAATTCAAAGTAGAAAAAGTACCACTTCCGGTTATCGGAAATCGCTCAAAAGTTGATCAGGATCTACGATTTTGATAAAATACTTATATATGAAATGTCATCAACCTAGCTGTAACGGTACTCAAGTTATTGTGTTTACACACATACACACACACACACACACACAGACAAGATTGCAAATTTATTTTTTTCCGTATCAGTGAGGTGTAAAACGTCGAGATTTGTAAAAATCTCGATTATTTTTTGCACGATTACAAGACTTTCTCTATACTTCGTATAGGCCTATAGGAGAAAGTAAAAAAAAAGAAAATTCAAAACAGACTAATGCACTTATACACATGAAATGTTGTAATTTGTTTAAATTGAAATTTTTTTTAAAAAACCCGTTCAGGCCAGAAATGAGTATCCAATGTTTGTATTCTGTATTTGTATATATATATATATATATATATTATATATATAAATATATATATATATATATATATATATATATATATATATATATATATATATATATATATATATACATATATATACTAGCTGCATACCGTGCTCCGCCACGGTAAATCTTTTTTAAATGTACCATCTTGGGAACAGAGATTTAATGATTTGTTGTACTATAGTGCTACACTTGCATATCCCTTTAAAGCAATTAAAGAAAAATGAATAAGCAGCTGAATGCATCATTATCTTTCTATAAGGAGTGTGTAAAAAATTTGCGCAAATGTAATCTTTATGTTTTTTGGAAGGGTTCTAAGAGAGACATAGTTTAATTAACGAGAATTCAATACATTAAAATAACAGCGCCGACCACCATAAAATAGACCTTACGACACATAAACAGCAATCTGAAAAAAATTCAACACTGTACTGATCCACATCTAACTCATTATCCTAGCCCACAGAGTTTCTTCCAGGGTACGCCCCCCCCCACCCCGAACGAAATGAAATTTATATAATTTAAATAGAAAATATATACTTTAAACAGTGTCCGCCCCCCCCCGGACGAAAGTCTATCCCCCCCCTCCCCCCCGAAAATTTCAAGTGACCCCCCCCCCCCCCCCCGAGAAAAAAGTCTGGAAGAAACGCTGCTAGCCCAGGGATCGGCAACCTTTTGATACGCAAGAGCCAGAAGTTACAACAAAATTTCCCAGTTTTTAAAGAGCCACAATTTTTAGTTCAATATTTGGTATTTGATTAGGATTAGGTAAATAAATGTGATTTGTTATATGAAATAATATTTATTCATATAAGAACATATGACATGTTCTCGCTGCATGAGAAGTGAGTTATAACTGAGTTATTAAGTGTCTTAGAAACCAACAAACAAACAAACAAACAAAAAGCAAACAAAAAACAAAAAGAAAAGTTTATCACCACTAGGTTACGTTCGATCAATAATGAAGTCCTTAAGAATCAGTAGCAGATCTTTATAAAATGGAACTCTAAACAAACTTAATTTATGACTACGCTCTAAGAAATGGTTTATTTCAATACTAAGTGCAAGTTTACACTTGCATCACAAAGTATGGAGCAAACATTGACGCAGATAACCTCATCATATAGTAATAGACATCAATGAGTTGACGAAGATAATATCTTCCATCAATGTTTTAATATGAATAAAATCGGGCTTTTGTTAGTAGTGCCTTTATGACGTAAGAATTGCAGTTTTAAAAGGTAAGACAACAAAATATAGAAGTTTATGACAAGCGGAAATATGTGTGAATAAGCTTTATAAGAATATGATATAAAATTATCAAATTCTGTAGGTAATTAAGAAATCAGAACTGGTGGGGAAAAAAACTCTATAAAGCATTCAAATTTACGCTTAATGTTAAACGGAAATCGCTCTGAAGAGGAACCGCACACCGAAATTGTGGTTTGTGATCAATCATTAAAAGTGTGAAGTACTACCAGAAATCACATAAAATAGCATCTTATACTAATGTAGGAAATTTCTTCTAAAAGAAAGATGAAGAACGAAGAAAAAGAAAAAAAGATCTTATAATTAGATATGAAATTTTGTTATGAAACAGACTGACGCAAATGTGTTCACACGGAAATAAAGTATCACAGAAATCTTTCAAAAGTTGGGGGGAAAATGCGCATTATAAGTGGACTCTTCATAAGCGAAACTCTATCATTTGAGCTTTAGAGTATCTGAAAGTAGAGTGAGTGTACATTTCGTATACCCGTTGAAACGGATAAAATTTTAATTTTTCATTATTCGCCACGAAAACCATACTGCTTCTATACTCTGTATACGAGAAAGTAATTATTAGGAAATAGGCCTAGATAATGAAATTATTATTTTTTAAATTATATTTATACGGGCGTAGGCACTTGTCGCTTTTCGTAAAACGTCATCAAATTATGTTTAAAATTTGTATAGCTTGCGCACATTCAAGATGGCGACTGTTTAGAGAATTTCCACACTTAAAGTTTAAAGCTATAAACCAGACTTTAGGAATTTAAAAATGGTTTGTTAGATTATATTTTTCCATGTGCGAATGTATATGTTTCAAAATATACATTCATATATATTATAAGTATATACGTATATATGTATCGTTCTTACATGTAAATATATAGTTTCTAAACTTCTGATGTACTGATAGATACATGACATACTGAAGATGACTAATACACCGACAGATACCTGATATACTTGATATCAGATGCATGACATTTTAACAAATAGACTACCTGACTTTCTGACGAATTACCTGACGCAGCGCCATATACCTCAGACTTTGAAAAACACTTGACTGACCCGCGTTTAGTAACTCTTCTCAAAAATCAAATGTTGTCAATGTGATAATATAAACCAATGTTTTCAAGTAAAACAGAGTTACCCTGCAACCACCAAGAATCCTGGGACCACATTAGAACGTCGTGAGTCTGGTTGTAGCTTTTCTTTCGTGGTGGTCCTCTACTGACACATCATGAGCAGCGAGTGGTCTAGTGAAGGGTACTTTCATCTAAACAAACGTTTTAAGCCTGACACCGATGACACAATATTGAATGTAGACAACCTTGACAGCTCAGGCGAAAATCGTACCGAGCAAGGTTTGGTAGGTTATCACTTTAGTAAAACAGATTAAAAACGGGTCTGGTGGATCAAATGAATGTGTTTAAATATATATATATATATATATATATATATATATATATATATATATATATATATATATATATATATATATATATATATAATGTGTGTATTTGTGTATGTATTGCCGAGATGATCGATATGTACTTATAAGACTTTTAAACTCAAAATATGCAATAACTGAACTAAGAAAAAGCATTTTTTTTTCAAATATTTTGCAATTTCTTTGTCTTGGTGTCACACCCCTAACCCTAAATGGTGTCACACCTCTGACTGTGAGTATCACCATAAGACATCGAGCTCTTGGATTAGACACTTATTATAGATGGTAGACATATCACATGTCATAGCCCAGTAACTGAACTCGAGTTCTAGGGCTGACAGTGCTGATCGCTGCCACTCGGCCACGCCGGTCCAGTCTTAAGGACAGCTCTAAAACGTTGAGAGATTTCATCTTAAAGCACTATAATATTCTTTCATTAAACCTTTGACCCTTTCATGTACTGAAAATTTTGACACCCCCCCCCCTTAAGATTCTATTAACCCGTGACACCCTCCAGTTTACAGGGATTGACTGGAGCCGTCTACCTTACCTGGTCTTGGTTCAAGTCTTCCAACACCTGGACAACCCAGACAGGTACCACGCTGCTCTCACGTGTAAATCCTGGCTACTGACACTCTCTAGTCCAGCCGTGTGGCGCAAGGGACACTTCAAGTTAAACACCAAATACGATGAATATTTGCTCATTTTCATCAGAAGGATGGGGAAATCTTTTCTGCACATTAGAGCCGATTGTGCAAGAGGTCACTTACATTTTTATTTTATTTACAATCACTATATATATATATATATATATATATATATATATATATATATATATATATATATATATATATATATATATATATATACATATAAGGGTCGAGATATGAGAATCCACTTCTGACAACATAAATGTTAGAGGGGGGGGAGGGTAAGGGATCTGTCTTATACCGATAGAGAGATGGTGATGGTTTTTATTCTCTCATATCCGTGCACCCTCGTTGTTACAAAGGGGGTTTACCAGACCGGAGCAAAACTAATTACAACATCTAAACAACACCAGAATTAAACTTAAAATAAAACTTGTTAACCCACAGTTCAATACATTTATTTACCTATATCAGACGATACAATAGTTTACAGGGTTACAATATCAGAACGTATAACAATTTACTATCATCACTCTTCATACTTTCAGTACCATTACTCAAAAACCACCCAGCAAGACATACAGCAACATGACATGGACTGGCAACAGAACAGCTTCTCGATGACAGCTTCAGCTTGACATCACGATATGTACTATACAGCATCTTGCCGTCTGTTATAGAGGCAACATCTCTCTGACAGTTAGGGAACAGCTTCTCCACCCTCCAGACAGCAACTGGACAGGCACAAGACAGCATAACATCAGGCCGTTTGTCCAAGACCACAGCTAGGCCAATAACAGCAGCCAGTCTTCGCGGCCAGCCTTACAAGGGCTAGATTATCCTCTAGCCCCAGCTATGTGTGACTGCTTTCCAGTCTCTAGTCTACCCTACTTAAATAACAGACGAATGTCCAGGTGTCAGGGTAATTATGCTCCATCACTTCCCACTCAAGTCTAACCTAATTTACATGTCGCCCACAGTTCTGGGGTACCTGATTAAAATGTTAGACCCTTCAAATAAACTTCCCCCAGCTTTCTCCGTCCGTCACCTTACGGTCACCCAGGCCAACTAGATACCTTACTGCTACATCTACCCCCCCCCCCCCTCATTAATGTTGTGGTCTGTAATTACAATTTAATTCTAACACGTTCTTCGTTGACTGTCTCCATCTAGGCCTATTTAGTCTGGTCACGTGTATCGTCAACCCTACACCTGCAATTTACACTAGCCTCCATAGTTTATGACTGAACGTACAATGACCGTGAGAACCCTGGGTAACATTCCATACCAGCACACATATATAAATTGCTAAGTGTCAATGTTAAGCATTGAAAATTTAAGAACCAAAATGACCGAAACCAAATACCAATTATATTACAGCGCAGAAAGCTGGAGACATCAGCTATAGCATAAGATTCTTGTACCAGTTTATCGAAGCTCTACTGACCACTAAAAACCAGCAACTGGTAACTCTCAGCCTGACTGGCATGGAGATGTGGAAATCATCCTGCGTTCACCACAAGTGGGAGATGGTAAAAAAACTGGCCATAATAATAGAACACCAGCGAAATCTTCAAGTACTGGATCTCAGCCACGCTGAATTAAATAAAGATCAAGGTTGGTAAAGCTTATGTAAACGCTGGTCTAAAATAAACTAACATTAAAATATTATATTCGCATGCCCGCACTACCACATCCACCAAATAGTAAATGCTTATTTCAACAACGAATCAGGTATCCGGTTGCTAGAAGCTGCAGCCAGCCATCGGTGCCACAAGACCATCCACACCCTGGACATTGACCGGCTCATTCACTATACGCAGTCAATGGATGTCAGTACTGATAAAAAATTTTATCGTTGCATGTCCCGTCTTAGCAACTTATCAGGTATGTGTTGTTTCTTCAAGTTTTATCAAGCTGTTTTTTTTTTTTCAATTATATTTTTGCCTGTAGTGTTTTACACTTTTTGGGGTCGACTCAACATGCACCAACCTTAGCAATTATGTTTGTTTTAAAATAACTGAATCAAAAACTTATTTTCCATAGATAATATCCCTAATATACATAGAAATAATCAAACTTTGGGAATGTTAGTTTTTGGACAAGAGAAGTAGCATTCATATTTTGTGAACTACGTCGAACCACAACACACCGAACCACAACACTCCAAACTAAAATGCACCAAACCACAGCACACCGAACCATAACACAACAAACCACAACACAGCAAACCACATTACACCATACCACAACACACCAAACCACAACATATCATACCACAACACACCTAAATATTTCTACTAGATCTGAGCACACTCCCAACTTTCAGTATTGAAGCTGTACCAGCTCTACATGTCAGACAACCTGCTGTACCTGCTAGCTAAGACAACCAGAAACAGCCTGCGGTTGATCTCTATCACGGAGGATCATTGCATATTAAACCATCCTCCAACTACCAGTACAGCCTGGCAGTATTTGACGTCTGCTTGTGCAAATCTCAAAGTTGAAGTTTTCATCAACCCAAGAACGGTGAGCTCACCAAGCAGCTAGCCCCGTTAGGCTTATAGCCAAAAGAGCAAAGAGTTCTTCAAACCACACTGACATCAGCACGCAGTCATCACACCTAATTCATATACAATTTTAATACTTTTTTATTTGCTTATACATTAACAATTTTATCCATGGAACTATATAAATTATACATAAATCAAGACTTTACATATCTTACATACACAATTGTACCATCTATAAAAATATGATTGTAAATGAAGTTCAAACTATCGTCTATTGTTGGACATCTGGTCAATTTCCGACACCATAAAAATTCACAAAGTCATTGTCTTGGATTCTTTCTACATACGAGCCGTCCATGTCAGGCCCTGCACTGGCCTCTGTGAAAAACCTATCTGTAAAGGGCCATGACATGTGTGTTTAGTAATCAGCATATACCCGGCATTGTTCGGGTTTAGGAAATATATTACTGTTTGAATTAACCCTAACCACAACCAACCAAAACCAAACACACAAAAAACGCAAATATAACACAAATGATAACGCAAACACACACAAAAGAAGATTTTAGGGTACTTACCCTCTGTACATAAGGCGAATTTTTGCATGCCCCTCTATAAATGGTTGCACCGTATGGAAAAACTGTCGGTTCGACGCAAGGACTTCGACGTGGGCTAAAATGTAACTTCGAGCTAATTTCTCCTGATTTGAGCTATATATCGAAAAAATCTTTTGCCGTTCGACCCCCTTTGATAATGTATGAAGGTAATTTCAATAATGATTTTATGGTACTTACCTTCTATAGATCTGGCAAATTTTTGCATGTACCTAGATAAATTGTTACGCCGTATGGAAAATATGTTGGTCAGACTTAAAGCTCTCGAAGAAAGCTAAAAATGACTACGAGTGAAATTCCCTTTATATGAGAAATACGTAATTAAATTGACGAACGATCCCCCTAATATTTTGTGAGGTCGTCGACAGACACGGGAGGGTAAAAAAACAACGACTGTATTCCCGTCGGGAAAAAACAACACATTAGGGTCGGTAGATTTCTCGAGATGCCGTATTTTCTTACTAAGCAGAGCTTACGTCTTTTGGCGTTTGTAAAGTGGAGTTTTATACTATTTTAAAGAAAATTTAAAAAAAAAAAACACAACGTATAGCTTACATTTCAAGTAAAATTTCGTTATAAATTAAGTTATGTATTGCACTATAATTGTAAAAATAAATTGCATTAGTAAATTGAATATAATATTTGATTCATTCTATTAAAAAACATTTGCCGTTCTAAGATCCTTGCGAGTTATAAGTTTGCCATTACTCCATCAATGTTTGCATGGCATGAAATTACTCAAACTGTTTAAACTTAGGCCCTTAAGCATTCCACATAACAGCCAATCCTAACTTAATTAATCATTCAAAATCTCAAAAGTTTTTTTTTTTAAACCTAAGTGGAGCTAGGCAGTATGCCTATTAATATAAAATCAGATAAATTATTGTCTAAGGATTTTTAAACTAATTTATTATCCGTCGCTCCTATGCTAGGCTTCTAAGATTATACATTAATAAAACTATCCAGTTACTGTTTTCATTGATAATTCTAAAAACCTTGTTACTATGTATTTTTATCAGGGGCGGCTCTTCGACTTGTCAGCAATTGCAATTCTAATCCCTTGTATGCCACTACATAAATTATATTGGAGCTGTAGCAGTTATAATTTTCAACTTAGCCTGGAACACATCGCAGACAACTTTCAGGTATGTTGTTCTTGGTTGGTTCGGCGAGCTCTCACACTGTAGTTCTATTTTCCCAGATGTTAGTATCAATATGTGAAACCAGCCATATTACTATGCTACTTGACCGGTGATGCATCCTAAATTGACCGATTTCCTTCCACTTCGGTAGAAAGTTAATACAATTTTGGACTTCTGGTGCACAACAAAACATTTTACCCGGACTTGTTTCTGCCAATCTTCCCTAGTACCTGGCAGCAGAGGTTGTAGGATTGGGCTTAATTAGCTGGATTGATTAAAGATTGGCTTAATTAGCTGGCTTAATTAAGGCTTGGCTTAACTAGCTGGCTTGATTAATCTTAACGTGTTGTTACCATTTTTAAAAATGACTAGACTACCCGGTCATCCCTTGGATAACCTTGGATAACTGTGGGTTTTGGGGGTCATCCATGAAAAAACATCAAGTCTGTCTCTTATCGTCACAAAAAACCAGACCCCACATTAAAAAAAAACTTTTTTTTATCTTTTAAAAACACCGATTTCGGCTGAGCATTGGTCTGACCACACTATCCCTTCATATACTGACATAACAGATGATGTACTCAACTCTACTTTACCTGCCCAGTGTCCCGCCAAGTCTCAGACAACATGTTTTTATCGTTTAAAAATACTATTCCGGCCGAACATGTCTCTGACCACAATATCCCTTCATAGGCTTAGGATAAAGAAAATCTACTTCACCTGCCCTGTATCCCGCCAAGTTCAGATAGGCAACTTTATCAATCACATCTAAAAAAGAAATTGAAATATTTTTTTTAAAAATTGACGTGATGTGTCTAGAACCCGTGCCACCCGCATGAAAGCCTATTACACTATCAACTTAGCTATTTAGACTCGTGACGTCACTGATGTTTTTTATGGTATATTTTAATACTTTGAGTCTCCCTATGCAACTTGATTTACGCGCATAGGCCAGATCTAGATCTAAGTCTAGCAACATTCATATTAAATTTTATCTTAAATTAGCCAATTCAATAGCTAAACAAACAAAGATTATATAAAATAATAAAGGTCTGAAATAGTGTAGTATATAGAAACTCATTATTATCTAAATCTATATAGAATTATCTATATTCTACGACTGGTTTGCTTAAGTCTAGTTTTTGCGTAGCTCTTGCTAGATCTAAATTAGACCTATTCTAGATCTAGATAGATAAATCACAAAGATTTATATCAAGTATTTAAGGACTAAAATAGTTTAATAAATAAACTAAAAAATGTATTATGATTTCAAAATGGACTGTATTTTTACAAGCTTTTATTTAACTCACTTCCTCGACAGTCTGTCTGTCTAGACCGAAACGCCGGAGTGAAAATTCGGAAACTTCTACTTGATCGATACGATTCACACTTGGCACGTGGGTCAAGACATGAAGACAATGCAATCTGAAATTAAATTTGACTTAATTGGATGCCTAATTAAGTTTTTATGAATTAATTAAAATTTGGACCGAATTAATAGGCATGTCTATCCAACCACACCACATCACGTTCAATAGCTGCGCCATCAAGTTCAAATGCTGCGACATCACGTTCAGTAGGCGCGCAATGGTTTTTAGTCATATAATTATAACTCTATTGTAAATAAAACTTGTAAAGTACTTAAAAAAAAATTCATAAAAAAAAACGTTTTAATAACAAGCTTTTATGTAATAGTGCACTAAAAAGTAGAAAATAAATTATAGACTACTATTTAAATAACTAGAAAGAAAAGCGTGGGTGTCTTCCTTAACATTAGTAAAGGTATCCAAAAGATACTAAAGTGACCCACGCTTTTCTTTCTAGTTATTTAAATAGTAGTCTATAATTTATTTTCTACTTTTTAGTGCACTATTACATAAAAGCTTGTTATTAAAACGTTTTTTATGAATTTTTTTAACTAATTAATCTTAGGTTTGACATAAAATCTAGATCTAGATCTATAAATAACATTCTTGGCCGCCTGATATTTAGATATACAAATAGCTTTCTTAGACATATTGTAGAGCTAGAGAAATTTATTGTAAAACTAAATGAAAAAGACAGTTGAAATTTGATATAAGTGTTGGAACGTAATAAATACAGCAAACGGATGTATTGTTAATGTTATAGCCGACAGAAAATTAGCTTTAGAACGCGTTAAATATTGGAAAAGGGAACACACTCTTCTTCGATAGAAGCCGCCATTTTATTGTACTAAAAAGTAAACAAATCATGTGCCGTCACTATTCAGTCAAAATAAAGCTATTGTTTGAAACTAGTGCAACAATTTTTTTTTTTATCCAACGAGTGAGAAATTTGTTATCTTATTTACAGGATTCATTACATCATCTCCACATCATTTTTTGGAATTTGGATTTTCCCTATAAAAAATCCCTCCTGGACCTGATCAAAAGGTATTCTAACAGTCATTCTAACTGTATAGTTTTGTATATTTAATGTTAAGTAATTAACCTATTTTCTAGAAAATTAGTAACATATATCAAATAGATGGGCTTATGAATGCTCGTTTCATAACAACCCCCAATACTGCGATTTATATATATATATTTTTGCTTTATTACTTTGTGAAACGTAATAGATGATCCAAAACTAGTTTACTATTTTAGGAAGTTGTTCTAAAGACACGACGAAAAATTTACCAAATTAGATTGTACCTTTTCAAACCACCGTTTAAATTGTTTTAAGTTTATTCCCTTTATATCCCCTCCTGCTCCATAAAAAGCTTATGCCTTGGAAACTTCGTCAAATAGCCGTAAAACTTAAGACTTGAAAAATCCAGCCTCAACCATTTCTTTTCGAAATATTGCCTTCGTGACTTTTTGCTCTCCAAAATTCCTCTCTCCCAAAGGACTACATACTAACTTAGTATGTTACAATCTTCTTTCTGATGGTGTTCTCTATCCATCACTTTTTGAATTTGCTCCTGTTTTTAAGCCATGGAGTAAAACAGACTTCATTTCTGTGCTAAAGATCATGGGTTGCTTTTTATTGACAATGCATATGAACTTACATCGAATTTCTAAAAGCATTTTATCGTAGCTGATTCACATCTTAACTTCATGGTGAGCGTCACTAACATTTGAACGTTTGTTGTTGCTGCTGTTGTTGCTTTTTGTTTTTGTTCTTTAATCAGTACAGTATGTTCTGTACTTGTTGTTGTCTATTTGCAAGAAGTAAGTGCCCATCTGCGAAAGAAAACTTTTTGATAAATGTATTTGTCATAGGTGTCACAATTTAGAAACCTTGTCAGTAGAAGCTTC